CCAGATTATAATTAATTCTGGCCCTGAAGTAACATTTGTTGTACCTGGGATTTAAGTGCCTAAATTCCACCAAAGTTTCACTTTGAACAGTGAAATGCTTTTGGGTCTGACATCTCGCAGATCCACATTTAAGCACAAACTGCAGAGGAAACATTGCCAAAAGAGATGTAACTGCTTAGAGCAAGAAAATTGTGCCTCTCTAACATACTAAAATTAAGTCAATTGTGCAGCTGTTGAGACTAGAGGGAATGGTTGATGTAATTTATTTGGATATAAAAAAGAAAAAAAAAATTCCATATAAAAATATGCCTACCAAGAAGCCATTAAAGCAAATGCGCATCAAGGAAGTGAGAGCTAAAGTAGTTGTGCATTAGAAACTAAGAGGTAGAGCAGGATTAAATGGTTGGGTTTTTTTCAGCATGACAAAAGGCTAATGGTCTAGTGCCCCTAGACCGCTCAACTGGTGCTATCTGAAAATGGGGATGAGCATGCTGACGGGGAGGTGGCACTGTGTTTGCTGTTAGCACAGAATTACTTCAATTAATCAGAACCAGGGAAGATTGTGATTGACCTGGGTTAACAAAGTGAATAAATGGGCAGTGTGATGCAGATGAAATGCAATGCTGAGAAATGCAAAGTTGGGCATACATTCAAGAGAATAATTGGAAGTATTTGTAGGTTTTGCTGGGCTCTAAATTAACCAAAACTATTTAGGTCATTACTTACTATGTCCAGCCTAGTGGAATAGTGTGTTTTAAAGGAATCCTATGAAAACAAAAGATAATGTGAGACCATGGGGGATGGCAGTAACACAGAAGATACAACTCCCATCCATAAATCAACATGACCCCATGATTTTGTTCTTGCCCCATCTCTTAAAGCATACTGGCAAAAAGTAACTCTGAAGACTGGCAACTAAATAATTAAAGAGGTGGAGGATGCTGAAAACAAGGGTTTGTTTAGCAAGAAGTTAAGTAATAGGAAACAGAGGGCAAGTATTTAAAACAATGAGTGGCGTTATGAACGCAAGTTAAGAAGCTCCTATTTATATTGCTAGTGAAAGAAAGAAAGAAAGAAAGAAAGAAAGAAAGAAAGAAAGAAAGAAAGAAAGAAAGAAAGAAAGAAAAAAGTGGTATATTTAAAGAGAATTAAAATGATTTTCATGAGAACCTCATTAACCCTTCGGAATCATTCTGTTAAGCAATCACGGCCAGATGTTCAGCAGCATTATGTTATTTTAAAACAATTCTAATGCTAGAATAGGACTGGACCAGTTATTCCAATGCTATCTTCAGAGATCCAGCTTCTCCATTAAAAAAGCCCATACAGGTACTAACCTGCTGCCTCCTATTTGGGAACCTGAGCTTTTAATGCGCACTGATGTTTTTGTGCTCAGCTTTGCTGGCTAAACTTTGAACTGGTTGGCACTGGAGAGTCTACATTGTGCCAGGGCTCCCACTTCACCATATAAAAGAAGGCGTGTGCCCAAGGAAGAAATGGTTCAGTACACAAACTTCGCTGTAGAAAAATTTTCTTTATGGAGCTACCTATTCTGAGGGTAATTTATGCAACTGTGATTTCCCCCATCTGGGATCCCAGAATTATGTCTGCAGCAGCTGGTGCATGATATTGAATGGTCCTTTAAAATCTCCTTGCTGCTGAGTAGAGGCTTGTGTGATTTTCAGTAGCATTCATAAGCACTCAGGCTGCACCACGGTGTGATCCCCTGCACATGCCAGGAACTTGGATGGGGAGCGGCTGAGATTAATGATGACATAACACACTAAGAAGAGATATTAATGCTCTTAGGCATGAATTAATGAAATACCATTGAGAATTTATCCTGCATGAATAAAAGGATTTGGAAGTTGTCGTTCTAAAAACCACATGAACATTCTACTGAAAAAAACCCCAAACACTCTGTTGAAATAGACAGGGTCCTAACAAACTCCAGACTTTTGGCAGAGCAGGATGATTGAGTTGGAGCCATTAACTGAATGCCTACTAATTTACAAAGTGTTTGTGTAAATGAAAGACACAGATCCCTTGCTTTCAGGGTTGTGACAGTGATAATTTTTTATCTCCAACTCAGTGCAAACCTGTGGTGTCACTGTGGAATAGAGACCCAGCATACCAGTGGCATCCATAAATCTGGGATCCTCATCCCACAGTGCAGCCATATAGCAAGATCCTTGCTTACTGAAATGGTAGTGCTGCTCTTCATAAATGTGGGAGGTAATTGTCACTATTTATTTTTTAAAAAATTAAGGAGTGCTTTACTGTGATCTCTCTGGGGTATCTTTGCAGGATTACTGAAAAATTGAAGGATTACTGCTGAATCCCATCTTTTGAAGTTCTTCATTGTTCCCTAGAATTAGTGAATTAGTGAATCAAAATGTTGTGTGTGTATATCTATATATATTTATATGAATACCTGTCGCTTCTCTTGATTTTGAAAAGCAATTTTATTCATGGATTAAAAGTTAACACTACTGTATGTTGTCATGTAATCAAATCTAGAAGAGAAGTTTTGTTATTTTTGAAGCAAAGGAGGGATAACACCAGCTACAGTACACAGGGACTGTTTACTTTTTTGTTGCTCTGTTAATGTCTGTTCTGAGTAGTAAAAAAAAAAATCCTTAAAACTTAGGACATCAAGTATGACACATATTTTATCCATAATTTATGGCAACTTGAAACACCTTTTATTGCCTACATAAGTGAATATATGTAAACTTTATTAGTAACTTCATTTCAAATTTAAAATAAGCAAAGGTGTATTGTAGAATTTACAGAAAAAGGTTAGTTTTAACTAAGAAGTTATTACCAGTGTTGCATTTCTTCATGTTATGGTTCACTTATGTAGAACTGAGATGTATTTTATATTCGACAATGCATAGCACCATTATACAACAGTTCACTAAATGCACATCCCATTCAATCTTTTGTAGGAATTAATATAACTGGACTGAAGTTACAAGGAAGAATTGAACTGAGCCAGTAGGGTTAACACTGATACTAACAGGAGATTACCAGCCATAAGAAAATTACAGCTCTTCTGAAAGACAGTGCCTAAAATAGCAACACATCGTGGGCACCATCATAGGAACTGGTTAGCTGATGACCCTGAAGAAACATTTGTTTCCATTAATTCTGCTGCCATTATTTTGCTATTCTTGAACTCTTCCTCTGAATTCTTCTGTCCTTCTGATCCCAAGACAAGATGGCAGGAATGTTAGAAGAGAACATAAATTACAATAAGCTGTCAACTATATAATTATACTGTAACCTACTACACTGAGAAATTACACCAACAGAAATGTGGCAATGTATTGGCTGCCAGCTAAACACAGGACACTCACTAGCTCAACATTAAAAAAAAAAAACAAACAACCAAAAAAAACCCAAAAAAAACCCAGGCTTCAGCTGGTGCAACATCTACATTACAAAGAAGCTAACAAAAGAATTCCCTTATGATACTTAGGTTCAGCTGGTTCATCTTAGGTTCATCAGCTACATTTTCTTGTTTCATGAACACTTGTTACATTTGCAATTGAATATGTATTTAAGATCACAATGCTACAAACCTTTCTCCAGTACGTAGTTTTGCCACCTTTAGTTAGACACAAAGGAGTAATTGCTCGAAATGGGGTTGAAGATTCTGCAGAAAGTTGGTGATGTTATTAGGTCATGTGTACTGTAATTACTTGAGTGCCATCATTTTGAAATCCTTAAGAACATGATTTCCTAGGTAGAAGGCAGCAAATAAGCTTTTGCCAGACAGACTAAGGGAATAAATTTTGCTCCAAGGAGTCTGCTATGTACCCTGAATCAGAACTAAGTCCTGTTTCATAGAGACTTCAGATTTTTAAAGCATTTAAAGAAGTAAACCCTTTCTGATTAAATTTTAAATGTTTGTGACTCTACTGCAAACACAGTAGCTTTCAAGTGTTAAGGAATTTACTGGCAAGAGTTACCAGTGGCTGATGGTAGAAGATGCTTTTTTACTCATGAACAATTGCTGCAGTGTCACAGTCCTGAATAGATATATTGAGGTTACCTGAACCCCACAGTTCCATCTCAACCTGGATTTTAGTTTTTTTAGAGCTTGAACCTTCTCAACAGTGGAAGTCTCGCCCAAAGCATTCTTCTGAAATCCAAACTTCTTAAAAATGCATTGACTTATTTTCCAAAAGGACTTTATATATCCCAATGCATTAGAAGGTAATGATACAGCTTTCAAGTGAATTTTTGCTCTTATCATACAGAAAGTCACAGTGGCCACATATGAAACTGGCCTCTGTGATGATGGGGCATTAATTTGAGAGTTATTTGAAAGAACACAGTTTAGGAAGTGGTGACAAATGCAGTCCTTGATGCTATCTTTGAAAGGCCCTGGATGAGAGGAACAAAAGAGGGTTGGGAATCAACATAAAAAAAGATTTCAGACCTCCAATTTAGCTGCTGATTTGTGGATAACATCTTGGGCATCAGCTGCTTTCTGCAGTTCTCTAGCTTGATAAAAATAGGGACAGTCATGCTTATTTATCTAACACAAACCAGTGCCATGATGGATGAATTATTTAGCTAGCACTCAGTGCTAGCCAAATGCTGCTTATTTGTGTTTTCCCCACTGCAACAATGTATCTTCATCACTAATAATTAGCTGCTAATTACTGTTGCCAAGAACATGAGAGTGGTGTTTACCACCTTATTTTTAATTTCAATGCAGATGCCTACTTAAAAGTTATGCAAATATATGAATTTACAGTACATTTTCCTAATGACCCTGCTATATCTGGGTTTGATCCTATTCAATTGTGACAAAGGAACAGTAAAGATGACCTGTCTTCTGTGGAGCTATAGACAGTTTCTGTTGAATTCTCGACACTTAAATCATGAAATGTAAAGATGCCATTCTAGGCAGGACACATCTGGGTCCAAGGACTGCTGATGCCAATTATGCTTCGTACATAATAATGCACATTTTACCTATTTGAAAAAAAATTCACATTTATTTACTGTCAAACAGGTGTTAAACTTTACACTGGGTATTAGTGATGGGCTCATTATTAACAGGTTTACACAAAGAGATGAAAAAAGCAGAATTTTGTTGAAACAATTTACATTTCATTTGATTTTTTTTATCATAAAATAAATTAATTACTAAATATAGGCAGAAGGAATATGGAAGAGTTATAGTTATGTTTTATTTTTTTTTTTTTAAGGACAGGCACCTTTTAGTCACGAGAAAGCTTGTGAGAAGTGTCCAGTGTCCCCTTTACCCCTTACCACCCAACCCTGATTAAAGAATGAACAGGGAATTGAGTTACAATCTTTGTTAGCTACACCAAATTTGTGCAAGGCTTGGCATAATTGGCTTCTAAAAAAACTTTCTCTCCAATTATGTTTGTTTTTTTGGCAACAAAAATTCAAAACTTAAGAATAAAAACTAACTTGTCAAAGCAGAACACTGTTTACAGTGAAAAAATAAGTGAAAACAGGTAGAACTTGCATTTTAAACAAACTATTGTACTATGAACAGTGTAAGAAAAACAGCTTATAACATATGTGCAACCAAGAGCTTTTCACAATATTTTCTTCAAACTCTTTAAAATTATTTTTTAATGACAATTATATTTCAGTTGGACACAAATGTATTTATTTTACCCTAGCAATAGAACAAAATATAATTTCTTTAGCCATTTTTTCATGAGAACGGTTCATTGTACAGTTGAGGAAATATATGAAATAAGGCCTGTGGCTTGATTGCTAGTGGTTAGACATGTATTCAATCTTTGCCCTAATGGAAAAGATTTGCAGTGAACTGCAAATTGATGCAGAATATCTCTCCTGCTTTTGCAAGTCTTGTCAGGAACAGTAAGGTACAGTAAATTTGTCCCACAGGATTTTAAAGCCTACGCCTTGTATATAATACAATGTAGGCCTAGGAAAAAAAAATGGTGCAGCCATATTTACAAATTTAGTTCACAAACTGCTGCAGCAAAATGGCTGGAAAGTGTTTATTTTTCTTTTTTTTTTTCACAATTTTGTTAAATTCAGCAGCAGAAGATATCGTAAATACCGTGTTGGTATTTCTTTTCTTTGTAACAAATAATTCATTTTTGTATACTCTGTGTATATACAAAGTTTTTGTTTTATAAAAATTCACAGAACTGCGAGGTCCAGTCACCCCTGTTACTGGAGAACCACAGGGTCAACAGAATTGTCTCTTCGAGCAGATATGAGGGAGCCTGCACGGGGCCAGTTAAGTCTTTTTAATACTTGAACGTGACCTTTAATATTTCTTTGCTACACTATTAAAGGCTTGTCACTAGTTGCATTTGTCCTTCTCTAACATCTCCTTCCGGAATACATCCTTCTTTGTTAATGGGAATGATATAGCCGTCGCTATTGCCCCTGCTGATTTGATAGTACATCTGAAGCTGATGGCCAGCTCCTAGGTTTGGCATGCTCTTGTAGTAAATGTCCTCATTTTCACTCCTCCTGGAAGGAGAGAGGTCTTCTTCAACGTCGGGGCTGCTCTCTGGATAGGGAGAGTCTCTGAGGTTGGGCATGCTCGTGTAAAGAGAGTCTCTGTTGGGGGACTGGAGGTGGTCGTCAGCCTCGGCTGTCAGCTGTGAGACGTAGCTGTCAGTTCCCTCGGTCTTCACTTTCTTCTGGGGCTGGTACAGAAGGGAGTGAGTCCGCTGAGGGATGAGCGGGGCCTCCAGCTCTTTGTGGTGGAGCTCCAGCCCGGGGGCGTCACTGTGCATCAGAGACGAGGCGTCTGCCACGATGGCGTCATCTTCGCTACTGCTCCCGCCGATCACAGCCTTGGCTGGCAGCGCCCGCTCCAGGTTGTGGTTCTTGCTGCTGCCCCGCAGGTTGTTGTGCACTAACTCTGAAATGATCATTTTCTCAAAAGCTGCATCATTCAGGCTTAGTCCACAGTCTACAACTTGCACGCTGTCGTTATAGTCTCCATTGCGCAGTGAGTAGCTGTTGTTGAAATTACCATTTAGCGGTAGAGTATCCATGGCACTTGTATCCCTGGCATTGTTCAGTGAATGTCCTGAAATGGAAAAGGACAGCTCTGGTTATTGCCTGACATGTTTTTATCACCTTTTTTTTTTTTTTCTTTTTTTTTTTTTTTCTTTTTAACAAAATTCTTTAATGTAGTTCAGGACAAAGTTGTACTTGGAAGTAAAACTTGAGAAAAGTTAGGTTATTGAACATTCCCAAATGTAAACAGTTGCACACCTTATAGGAAAGATGCATTCTAAAAATAGTAGTGTGTGTTTCCTGTGGGGAATAATGGCATTTGAATTTCTTAATTTAGTGTCAATTATGGGACTTTTCCACAAGGAACTGTTCACTCCATGCCCTTGCATATGTAATGCAAAGCAATTCATTTGGAAACATCTATGTTTTGAAGTACATCACCATGATTTAGAAAAAGAAAATTAACAGAATTTGTCCTAAACAACACTAAATTAAAAAAGGAATTAGATCACAGACATAACTGAAGGTAAATGTACAACATAAACCCACATAACTGGCAAGCAACTACTTTAACAACATTTCTAACATTTTTTCCTGTTTTTTTTGGTTGGTTTTTTTTTTTTGGAGATGAAGTAAAGAAAAGAATGAAAAAAATGGATAAATACAAAGAATTTATGTTAAACAAGGACAGCCATCTTTCACACTACAGGGACCAGGGCCCACAAGCACCATCCAACAACACGATAGACAGCAGGTGGAATGACTCACTTTGGACAACTCACATCATGTCTGTCTGCTCAGGCTATCTGGCCTAAGAGTAGCTGATATATAAAAGAAAGTAAAATGATTTATTGTAACATGATGAAGAATTACTGAGCTTCTCAGCAACTTAGTCAGAGCAAGGGTTCAGCAAATTAGATTACTAAGCAATAACAGCTTTTCTTTTCCCACTTAATGTAATTTTTTTGCACTAATATTCTGTCTGCCAACAAAGGCCCCAGGCTAAAGGTCAAAGTTTGCCTGCAGTCTGCATCAGTCACAGTGACAGCGCTGAATGAACCAGAATAGTTAATTAAGAGCTAGGCCCACAGTTACCATGGGCATGGAAGTCAAACGCAGAAATGTTAGGAATTTCTGTAAGTATGGGTCACAGAAATTAAACCAAAGAATAAATATTAGTTGTGGAATGGGAAGAGGAAATCAGCCATGGCTGATATTTCATAGCTGTTGAGGGAATGACAGATTGGGTAAGTCTGCTGAAAACATGAAAAGGAGTTTAAGAGGGGGGAAAATGAAGTCTTATGATGATTAAAGTCTTTATGCTTTGGGTTTTGGCTTTTTTTTTCCAATAACTTGATAAAGAAAAGGTTTTCCTATAGACACAAAGACATGTAAACTATGACAGCACAGTGCTTCCCAAGCAAAGCAAAAAAAAAAAAAAAAAAAAAGGAAAAAAAAAAAAAAACTTTGCAAGAAATTAAACAGTCTGAACCATGGAAATAGATGGTTAGAGCATTCCTAGAAAAGCACGTTATCTACAAATATGTCTGGAAGTAAAGAAAGAATGAAGTGACTTTACTGAAATGAGACTGACCACTGTGAGGCTGCTGCATAATATGCAAGGCTTGGAGGAGTATAAGGGAAAAGTTTTTTGGAAAAGATTTTACGTTTTCTCATTTTGTGGATTTCTTTTTTCATAATTAAAGCTGCAGCTTATCCTAGAAAATTCAATATTCTCTGGAAATATTGTTTTCAATTAAAAAGAGATTGCATTTTCTCATGAAAAGATTTTTGTCTTCAACTTTGAAAAATAGAGTAATCATTTCCAAATAAATTCTCAGCAATTTGCAAGTCATTTTGCATTTGTGTTATTGCTAACTCTTCTCCATGTGTACTGATTTTAACAGTGATGAGGGTTGTTTGAGAGGCCTCTTTAAGCTTTGATTAAACAACTACGTAGTTTTGCAATTTCATGTACGTTCCAAGATTTTTCTTGCAATGGATTTAGCTGTGCAGAACATATGGCATTTATAAAAGTAGACAACACAGGGACCACATGCTGGATTCATTTCCCTCATGAAAGTGATTTAATTCTGTAATTTTAATTTTCTTTTCCTCTGCTAAAGAGATATCAAAATACATCTGATAATCCAAAATGAGTTTTCTATGATATACTGCAGAGTTAAGCATGGTAGAATATATTCAAATTGGTTTGATGAGGCAAATTTTGTTGCCCATGATCAGGTAATTAATTTGAAATCTTTCATAGCCTGTAGCAAGATTACTGTAGGAATGTAAAAATATAAGTAAATTGTTAAGCATTTCGGCATGACACTGCTTTGGTTTTAAACAGCAAATTATTTCAGCATTGCATAACTTGTGTTACCAATAGGGTTTGCTACAGACCTCATGGTGTTTCCCAAAAAGCAGTTTGCAAGTACTTTTTGAATGTGGAAACATTTTATTTGCAAATTGTGAACCACTTGCCCGCTGAGTCTACTTCATGACCGCTAGTTATGTTTTAATTGTGCCCATTAAAAATCATGCTGAAAAAATTTACATTTGATAGGCAAAGTTAAGTTTTACTCCCATACTTGTCTCTCTGTAGGTTGCTAGAGGAAAGCATAAGGAAAGTAAGAAAACAAGAGAATGAAAATAGAAACTACAGTTCAGTTAAAAAGGAGACTTGAAATAAAAACTGGAAACAAGGTTTTATGAGCTCTTTTTCAAAGATTTATCATTCTATTTACACTAAAGTGATCTTAGGACTCATTGAACAGTATCTGTAAGATATTTACTGATGAACTGCAATATCGTTAAAAAAAGCAAGTAGATAATGTAACAACAAAATGTTAGGTAAATGATGACACCCTTTATTCCGACAGAACTAAACTTTTCTAACTCAAACTTTTTCATCTCAAAATTTTCCTACAGGAAAATTATCTCCCATAAAGCTGCACTATACTATAGTTTAGATCTGTTTGACGCTGGATACAATTTTCTACACCGGGGTATCCAAAGGAGTCAAGATGCCTTGCACTGCTTTAGTATCTCATCCATTCCATAAGCAGGGTTTTCTCAGCAAGCTTTAGAGTCAACCTTATATTGCATAGACATGATACCTCTAAGTGATATTTATCTTGAAGATGGGCTCTCGGACCATGTGGTGTCAGTCCTTTAATAGTATATTAAGATTTATGCCACCTGTGTTAAAAACATGGATAATTATTGGTAAATACTGTTAGGGCAAAGGCATTACTATAATATAGTGCAGTTTTACAAGCTGACATTGGCAACACTGCATTTCTCGAATTTATTTCAGAAATTCAGACTGTACGGCTGGGGTATTGCAACTTGAGTTTCTATCTAGGGAAAAGAGGGAATTTGGAGTGAGCCAAGAAAAGCAGTTTATTCAGGAAGTATAAGCACACCTGGTGAGTTAAACACAGGAGCTGAAGGGGCATTACATACAACTGTTTCTGCGAGCAATGTGTTATAGGGGTTGTTAGTGCCGTGTGGTCGAAGAAGAGGGTTTGTTAGTAGGTAATTGCCAGTCATTCCTAAAGCAAAAGAAACAGAAAAAAAATGTCAGTTGCTTAATTTTAGCCTGACAGTTTCAATAAAGAATAATTTTTAGTCATCATGAATCATGTAGGATTTCTAAAATGTAATTCAGCTGAAAATTTCTGGCTGTATTTGAGCTATGCATTGGAAATGGGAGCAGGAAAATACAGTTAAATTCCAGTAATTCACAGGTGCTGTCCAAATCCCCAAAGTAAACATCCAGTAAAAGTGATATTTACTAATGTATACAAAATCACTGTTACACAAGAGTAGCAATTAAATGTTTAGAGATCAAGGTACTACATAAAGCTATTAGGACTTGAAAAATGATCATAGGGAGCACTTCTGTCCAGAATTGACAGAACTGAATTTCTCAAACTGAAAGGTACTGAAAAATCTCTTATGACAGGATCAGAGCTGTTACTCGCTTTATTAAAAACACACAGAGAGTGGAAGGGAATTGCTGTTTTCAAACAGACAGTGGATGACAAATTGCAAGAAGTATATGCAAAAGTATGCATGCTGAGGGGAAAGCAAAATATTTGCTCTAAGAAATCAGAGTATTCACATTTTCTCCTGGGACAGTCATGCTGCAAACGTATCTGCCAGGTTTTAAGAAAGAAATCCTTGAATGACAAATTTCTTTAAACTATCAGTTTGCAAACAATGTAAGACAAAGAAAATTACTACATGAACAGACTTTTTTAAACTCTTGTAAACTCAAATTTACATGTTAACACAACACCATTTAAACACTCTCAATAATAAGATAAAAAAACCAGCCTTTTTTCAGAAATTATTAAAAAGTCAATTAATCTCTGATTTCTAGCTACTAAAGAAAAGTGCTGTGATTTAAAAATCAATTTAAACATTTCAATAAGATTAAATTCAAGTTTCTTTTTTATTGCTTTGCAAAGCAGTACATCAGGATCAGTATATTACAGACCCAAGGACAATTAGAGACAGCTCTATTTTTATAGTATAAATATATTTGGCAAGTGATGATATATATTCCAAATATTAATGCTTTTGTACTCCCAGAGCTACTCAGCAGCAGAAATGAGCAGAAAATTCTAGCACTCAGAGAATTATGGTCTAACTATGCTAATCTTATTTGAAAGTTTGTATTAGCGATCAACTAAAAAAATTATCGTATTTTTTTCACATTGTAAAGTACTTCTTACTAGAAATAATAATAATGAAATATATTTTGCTCGGGGTTTTTTTTACATTTTGCATACTATATTTAATCTTACAATAATTGCGTGCAATTTAGAATTATCATTTTTTTCAATCCAGATTTCTTTCTTCTTGTCACAAGAAAAAAAAAAAAGCTTAATTAAAAGCTTAATTTTTATTTTAAAGGAAAAATCGCATGTCATAAATTATTAAGCTACCCTTATACGTATGTATCACTGAGATAGTGACAAAATTATAACTAAACAGAGTTGATAGAATTTTTCTGATCATGGCAGAACATCTTCAGTGACTTGAGTCTGGAACTTGAAATGGGGAGAAGCTGCTGAGACCTCTGTTCAACACTGAATTAACCAACAGTGCAGCACAGTTAGGGCAAACCTCAGGAGTCAGAGACAGCAAATTAGGGTAAATACCAAATTTTATGTGGCTTGTATTTTTGGAATTTTATTAAGACACTGAAGGAGACATGAAAAATATACATTTTCTACCTAGGAGAAGTTACTTAATTTTGAGTTTTGCCAGAAGAACATGCAGGATTCATAAGGGGGGTGGGAGGAGCAGAGAGACACACAGGTCTTAGCCACTTTCTATGTACCAAATAGCAAAAGTAGAATCATGCTTTCTGATACCTTCTGCTTTGCAAACACCACGGTTTTTACTTCCAAAATAAATGTAAATAAACGTTCCTGCTATCAAATCCTGAATCTGGATTTTCTGTTTGAAACTTTCTGAGCTGAGCAGGAAGTGGTTGCAGTGTGACCAGGGCTACCTTCACTTAAGCCTTGGGCAGAAGAACAGCCTTCAAACCTGGCTTGCACAGAGCAGTCCTCCCTCCACTGCTGGCTCAAACTGCCTCCAAAACACAGCGGGGAGGGGAGAAAGGGAGGGACAATCTGTCTTGGTTAACACCCTTGTCTTCTGTCTGGACATGAGAATGAGGTTACAGATTTCAAAGTCTATCTGAGATGAGAAGTTTTGAGTTTTGACTTCTCTGTGCGTGAAAATCTGCAGTCTATCCCATGTTACAGACATGATGCTCTTTGAAATAGAAAAGATAAATGCTTTACAGACATCTTTTGCATAGAAATGATATCAATTAGATTTCACTGGGAAAATTTCTGCACCTAAAAATCAGTCAAATATGCATTAAAATGTTACTGCACTCATATTTCTATTCCAGATTTAACCTATAAAGGTTAGGAAAGATTTAAAATTATCATCTTGCTTTTAAGCTAAATTATTGATGAAACTAATTTAAATACATTGCCATGAATTGAAGAATTCAACTTCTATAGCAGGGGCCAGTTAAGGGAACATGGTTTTCAAAACTGCTGGTGGATCACTTTAAAACTCTGCTTTTAGAGAACACTCGTTCCAGATTTTTTTTTAACATCATTTTCAATTCTTCTCTCTTAAGTGATATAAAATCTGTAATAAATTTATGGATTCTAAAACTGAAATGTTCCCAGTGACTGACCTTGATTAAGTGTTGAAGTGCTGTTGATGTCACCTGAGATAAAAGACGATTCCGATTGTTTTCTCACAGTGTCATTCCACATCCTCCTTATCCGACTCTGTTAGCACAAAGCAGTGAGACAAAAGCATAGTAGATTACAAAAAGATTTTTTCCTACTCATGTGCTATTATGTAAAATATTTGTGTTTACTTTAGCCTAAAGTAAAACATTTTCCTAGCACATAATGATAATTCCTTATTTTTTTATTAAAACTCTAATTTATTAAACTTTATTTCAATGAAACATGACGGTATAAACCTTCCCATAAATCAGTCCCTAATTACAAGAAAAAATAACATATTTGTATTAGTCCAAAATAAGAGTTTAAAAAGAAATAACTCTACAATGCAGAAGTATGTATTTACCATCTAAATGACAATAATGAGAAGACAATTAGTCTTCCTGACTGGAAGACATCTCAGTAGGCTTTTCATAAATAAAGTAATTAAAAGATGCTGTCAAAATCATTGTTACCTGAGTGCCAGAGGAATAGCGAGCACTGGTTCTGGTGGTTGATGTCTTCACTGAGCTGTGGGGACTCTCAGTTGGAAGTCCTCCACAGCAGTAGGAATGTCGGAAGCATTTCCCATATTCCTTACGTACCTGTGGGGGAAAAAATAAATGCTTAGCACACAAAATAGTTTTAAATAGCTGCTGGCAAAAACACATGAACCTTGCATTGAAACTACTCACTTTTCAAGCAAATAGATAATTCTTGTCTGTTGAATTGCTGGCTGTTAGCAAACCCACATATTTCTCTCTATTCAGTGGCAGTATTAGCAGCTATCCAGGAGTTGTGAACCAATTATTTACAAGGTATACACACACTTCTAAGAGATGTCCCTGAATAATCATTACTGACTTAGTTACAGAATTGTTTTCATTTCATTTTCATATTGTAGATTAATATAGTTCAGTTTATCTGAATTGAATGCTGGATGAAAATAGTGGTTTTTATAAGAGCTTTTGGTGCAGAAAGCACAGCAAGCCTGTCCTCCCATCCTAGCAGGCAAGAAGGGCTTGAGCACTGCTCAGTACTACCCCTTAATGCAATGACTTCCTATAAAGAGTGCCAAATTTCCAACGCCTGTAAAGGAATTTTCTTACTCTGTGTAACTCATCCAGCTGCTACTTCAGATGGCCACACCTGCCCTGGCACTGAGCAGAGCTCACAAACTCCACTGCCCCACTCCAGGCACAGCCCCAGCTATGCTGCTGGTGCCACTCGTCAGTGTTCCAGAGTCACTTTTTGAACCATAACGCTGGGAATGAAGCACCTTTCACCTTTAGGACCAAAACATAAAATTCTAATTCCTGTCTTTGTTGAATATAGAAATTTGAATATACCCATGTTTATGATTGCTTTGGGTTTGGTTTTTTTTCTGGCAGAGCAGCAAAACTAATTGATGCTTTCAGTATTTGGGCTACATTTATTCACCTTCTGTTTCCAGTGACCTAGTGGAAACTTCAGTTTTGTTATGAGTGGTAACAATTGCCATAAAGTAATCAGGATCATTTTACAGAGCAGTTAATTCTCTCTTATATTCCATGACTGCTTCACTGACTATTATTTTTGGATAACAGAAGAGTGTGTGCATATCTTGGCAGCAAGGCTGCATCAGTGAAAGGACACCATGGATAGAATTTGTATAAATGTGTAAGTCTAAACTCATAAATCTTCTATCAGATTACATGGGAATGTCTCTTCTTAAGTGTCTTCTCTTAAGTGTCTCTCCTACATCAATGAGACTCATGAGTTTCTGTGAAAAGAGGGATTTCAGCTAATCTGGAATTTTTGCCTGATCTATGAATATATAAGACAGAAAGTTATGTGTATGCAAAAAGGGGAGAGGAAAAAATTTAAAAAATTAATAGTGTGGATTTACTTATGTAATGTGCTGTTTCCTACAGGAGTTTCACTCACAGAATACATACTGTGCTGTTTCTATAAATCACAAGATAAAGAAAAGTTGAATAATTTGTACTTTAACTTCAAGTACAATAGTTCAGCTTTTTATAAAAGTATATGGTACATATTTTAAGTCAACTCCTATCTATATCAGCACAAAAGACATATAAAAATGAAAACAGAAATGAAACAACCTACAATTATAATTTTTTAACCCTGGAAAACAAAGGTCTATATACATCATCACTAGGTGGTATAACACCTAAGAAAAAACACGCCTGAACACTAATGGGTATTAAATGCTCTAAGCCACTACACAGTAGAGACAATAGCAATCAAAACTGTATTTTTACCCAAATACCACCCTCCAGGGCTGGTTTTGCCTAATGCCTGTATTGCTGTGAATGTACATTATCTGTCAGGACTGCGCATTCCACTGTCATTATTTCTAAATTATAGCTTGTTGGAAACTGATGGAAGCAACAGCACTATCATCTCGTCAGACCTGGAAACATAATAGTTTTCACTTCCACAATTCTATTTCTCTGTTCAATTTAGTGACCAAGTAGTAATAACAGAATAAAAAGACTACATTAGCTATGCAGACAGAGCACAGGACAATATCCAGTCAAAGGCAGTGACACTTAAAAATCTTAAATGGCAGCTTTAACATTCTTTCAGGTATAAATCTTATTGCTCTAGGTTATGTTTTTTTCACACTTGACTGGTATTTTAATCTTGCCTTTTGCTGACTCCACTTTATATAAAAACAATGCACAGCTGTAAAAAGAAATAAAAAAAGGAATCTGTTTCTGATTTTTAAGTCCAATACAAATAGTAAAAAGGGAAACATTATATGAAACCCTAACCTAGAATTTATTTGCATTTTGGGGAAGTTTGCATTTTCTTCCCTACCTTCTTCTCTTAGGCTCAATCTTCTAAGTGTGCTTTTGTTCTCTCCAAATGAGTGGAGTGGAATATTCATCTGGGTAAAATTCTGTCTACCAGATCTTTTCCTGAAACACCTCTGAATGCCATTGTCTGCACTAAATTTAAGAGATGCTGGTAATGTTACAGCTGGTACAGTTGAGAACATGAGCACAGGATTTTTGTATTTAAACAACACTTCATCCAATGGTCTCAAACCATCTTACAAATATCAGTTAATTATGTCTCTGGTGAGCTAATTATAATGGGAGTTAAAAATTGCTAGGTCTCCAGCCCAAAACTGGTAAAAATATTTACAATCTAAATATTGAAAATTGGATATTTCCAAATGTAGGACATACTGCATTTCATGTTAAGTTTGTTTGGGAGGGATTTTTTGATGTTCACCCTACCTCTCAACTCTCATTACTTTCATTTATCCTGCCTTCTAACAAAGGCTTTCAGCATTTTTAATGCACTCTTCATTAAACACCACTAAGGCATCCTTGGAAGCAATCTCCACCCTCTGGGGAATAGAAAGGGCGCAGGGGACCCAAAAAAGGGTCCCACAGAGCTGTGCCCTTCACTTTCCTTCTCTCCGACTTGCTCCTCCTCTCTCCCCTTCAAGCTTTCTCTCTGTCTCCCTCTGTCTCTCTTTGTCTCTCTCTCCTTCCAGCTCCTTCTGGACCCTTCTACTTTCATCCAGTGAAAGGGAGCAGAACTAATTTAGCTCATCCCACTCGTGAGATAGGCTCCAGTGAAGAGCACAAAGCTGTTGGGAGTTCTGGGGGAGGCAAACACTTGGAATAAAAGTATTAATACTGGCATCTTTTCCATCTTCAGAAAACTTCCTTTTAGCAACTGTCTAGCATTAATGACTGCTTTTTTCTAAGGTGTGTCAAAGTTCATAATTAAATTAATTTTTACATCCCACTTAATTTTGTAATGAATGAGCACACATAGTACAGTCCCTGCCTATCACCCTATAGTTTTATGTAGCAGCTTAATGGGATCTCAGGAAAGGTGCTCTGCCTTGATCTAAGAAAAGGAGAACATTTCCAGGCTGATATGGGCTGATATCATAACTGATCCTCTGTTTGCAGCACTGCAGCAAAGGCAGGATTTGTTTCATATGGACATAAAAGATTTTTGGCTGTAAGTCCAGGCTAATATGTACCACACTACCAGTGTTAAACTTTTAAATTTTCTTCACAAAACCTTCCAACTTTTCAAGCTCAGGTTGGAAATGATGCATCCATGTTAAACCTGTCTGGGTCACAGAGCAGTTACACGAGTCCCACTAGCACATACAACAAAAGCTGCATTGGAATTCTAGTCCCCTCCTCAAACTATTTCAAAATACTCCAGTTCTTCAAATTGTTAATTTTATCTCTATTTTCTTAAGAATTATGTGTGGCATTTCTAAGGAGTTAGGGAACATTTATCTATGGTTTTGGTAACTTACTTTCTTTTGAAGGGCACAATGAAAGATGAAAATAAACATTCCTTGGAAAGCATTAAATACTGTGAAGAGATATGTCATCACAATGGTCCCTTCATTTATAAACAGCAGACCAAATGACCATGTTAGGCCAAGGAGACACAGGAGAGCAAATGCACCCAGGACCCAGGATCTGTAAAAGAAAATTAATTTTAGTAACATTACTTACGAGAATGTACTTTGCCAAATTAAATATTAACATTTCAGTTCCTGCAGTTGACTTTTACTATTTTCACATTCAAATGTAAAAATTCCTTGGGTTTAACCTTTTATCTATTAAAGAAAGAACAATTCCATTCAGTACTCTTAGACTCCAATGAAAACAGCAAGAATAGATATAACCCTTGTCTTTCTCAAGAACAGCATAGGACGTCAAAACTATTTTGAAATGCAGAAGTATAGCACAAGCCTCAGCTAGTCCATTGCTTTATCTGCTTTTAGAGAAGAGATTGATAAATCTGGCTTAGCCACTAATCACACCATAGATTTTAAGCAGTGGTGCTGCCATATGACACCAAATAATGTAACACAAATGCACAAAGGTTAAACAGCAGATTAAAAGCCTAGAGCCCAAATCATTAATGCTTCGATAAACTCAGCTAAACTGAAGCTAGAGGATGTAACTTCCGCATGAAGAAACCCTGCTGAAATGTGACAAAAATATGGATACTGCTTTACAGAACAATCTAAAAAAGATTCCATCATGAATAGGTTAAGGAAAAGGAATTGTAGTGAACAGCACAGAATGAAAGGGAAAGGGAATTTAGTCAGTGAATTCCACATCTAACTAATGATCTTACTTGATAAATGGCTTATTATCTTCATAGCTAGAAAGCATTATAAGCAGAAAAGAGAAACAAAATTATTAGACAGAATTTAAACAGAAATTAATAAGAGCATTTTTAATTGTTTATAAAAATTAGTCAAAATTAGGAAATTCAAAATGCAGAGGCAAGCAATTTAAAAGTATAAAGGCATGTAATAGTTTAAAAGTCTTTAGCAAATCAGGTATCTCAAAAATAGATAATTAAAATTACGGGAAATCCACAATATGACCGAGTTTGTAAAGTTAAAAATCATGCTAGAAGTTTGTTAATGTAGGGTTCTATCTTACCCAGGTAAGTCCGTATTATAGTAGCCATCACAAACACGGTAATTACTGGTGTGGATGAGAAGACAGAAAGAGGAAAAGGAAGAAAAGAGAGAGATGCTAACGATTAGCTCTCTCTCATCATGCAACATGCAATGAAGCTGATACTGACCTATCTAGAACATCTAGTTCATAATGTTATCCTTACTGAAAGTCTCCCTTTGCCATTTCCACTGTTCAAAGCAGATCTGTAAGACCCTTTCACATCCAACCCTCAGTGTTAGAAAGTGGCACCATCCCTTCAGTGGTGGTAACAAAAACCTTGAATACAATGTAAGGCTAAACAGAATACAGTAAAAAGCTATCTAAAGAAGTGAAAGCTGCCAAAGCCTAGTTAGTTATCAAAAACTTATATTACTCTGCAAAAGGGATACTACAGTAGAACACCATGATAAAGTAAACATTTGTTAAATTAGCATGAAAACAGCAGATAATCTTCAAGTTAACAATAATAATAGAGTCAATTCTCTTGGGAGAACAGGATTACGAGTAGAAACTGCTCAGAATCCCTAAATCAAAAAGTCATTTAACAAAACAAACTTAATATAATCATATCAACCATGCAAACAGGAACATCATTTTTGAACTGCTTTTTAAATGCAAATGAAATTACTACAGTGCTGTGGCATTTCCGTGAAACAGTTTCTTGGCATTAGTTCCAGCCTGAAATTATCTAATTTTGACCGGCATTTGTGACACTACAGCAACAATGTGACGAAAGCAGGATTGGCTCTGTTTGCTTCTAATTGACATCTGCAGTTGCTGGGAGACAATGGCATGTGCTCCTAATGGAGAGTAGCTTTCAATCAGTTCAGCAATCAGAAAATAATCATAGTTCTCATACTTGAACACAAAGCACTTACTTAATGTTTTCCAACCTGCTAGAGTCTGGTTTCAAAGTGTTTGAGTGCTTCACCATTTTGCACAATGTGATCACCAGGAAGATAAGATTCAGCTGTCAAAACAGACAAGAATGAAATTAAACTACTTCAAGTAATAGGTTGAATAATGATGATGTTACAGGCTAAACAAAAACCCTGTAGTTTGTTTCCAAGTAAGTAGTGAAACTTGGTAACTGTATCAGATGGTCTGCAAATTGTGATTGCAAATAAGAATGAGAGGATAAAAATATTAGAAGTCCTTGTTTCACTTAATTTCCAAAATGCACCACATCATCATGAACCACCATATTTAACTCATGTCCAACACTTTCCATTGTCAGTTTAGCTCTGTCCTCCAGCATGTTTTGCCATCACCTGCTCACCTTTACCTGTCACCCTTGGCCCTGTTCCCCATGTCACTCTCTGAGGACAATGGTCACTGCTTCACTGGGCTATACTAGTTGTCTTTTTATCACCCCATCCTGATTTTGAAATGTTTTTCACCTTTGCTGGTTTCTCCTTTATTTTTTTTTTATTCCTTTTTGTTCTCACAATCCTACTGGGGTCTTGAAAAGACCTTAAATGTAACTGGGAAAAAAAAGAAAAAGAGAGGAAAAGAAGAAAAAGAAACACAAAGATGTAGCAAATGCATCAAACTTAACAGTGCCATAGACATATGCTGGTGGTGCACCCTCCTGCTGCCCTCTTTCCCTTTGTAGTCTGGATTCTGTCGAAGAGAGACTCTGTGTGCACTTGAAGGACTGTGGCATCTTATTCTTGTTGTGTCACTCATACAGGTAACACCAGGGAAGATACTGAAGGAAATTTTTTATCATTCTCTTATTGTGTAACAGAATCACAGATATCAAAGTTACTGGGTGCCTTTCTCCTATCGATTTCAAAGCCTGTGAAAAGCACAGGCAAGCCAAATACAAGGATGCCTGCAGAACACCGGCTAAAAAATGGTATCCAATTAATTTCAGTAATTAGTTTGTGCTGTCCTATATCACACAGAAAAGTTGGACAAAACTGTATCTTTGAAACCAGTAAGAGCCATGTCCTTTCAGCAAGAAGACACACATCCTTGTCTACTACTACAATGGTGCACACAAAGTGGCTGGACCAAAAGCTAAGAGAAGATGGAAGGTGGAAGAATATGCTTGGACATCCTTATAACACATACATTAGATTGAGAAACCCCCCCCCCATATATATATATATATATATATATCTGCAAATGGTTACTGGTGGAGCATGATTATACCCAGTCTCTCAGTTTGGGAAGCCTTTTGTCTGAGGCAGCTTCAAAATCTTCATTCTTTTTGTAACACTGGGGATATCAGCTCATGCTAGATGTGTTCCTGCAGCTGTGCCTCAATGGTCAGAAATGTCACTGAAATCCTAGTAAAGACCTGGTCTTAATCTTGAAAAGATGAGTATTTTGAAGGCTCTGATCAGAGTCTGTTAATGAGAACACGAATTATAGAAATAATTCCTACTGCTAAAGGCAATCATGTTATTGCTCCTGCTGCTGTCTTAGAATCAAGATGGACAGCATGAACTGCAATGCAGTTCTCAACCCCAGAAAAGTGTCTGGCAACTTTTGATCTTATCATGCAAAGTCCAACATTTTTACAATTGTATGTTGAGATTAATAGAAAAAGGTGTTTGTGATACAAATAACAAAAGTAAGCTTTTACGATTGATTTCTGTTTGTGTTTCAAGAACTGGCTGAAGATACTTAATATTTAGGCTGATGTATGTACATGGTGTAGGTTATGTGCATTTCCATTGCTGCAAAATGTAATAGAAGTGTCAAGAATTCATGATCTTGGTGATTATCTTTTATTATTCTTATAGGAAATTACTAACCACATGAGAAAAAACCCTTTTGTTACATCATTGTGATCTCTTCCTCTTATCTAGGTTTGCAGTGTACAGCGTAACTTCATTGGATGAGAAAACAAAGCTGCTTCTTTCCCTGGCCTTTGCACCAGACAGGACAAGGGCTCTGCAACTGACCTGACCCTCAGCTCCATGTCTTTGCACACAGATTTCATTTTCCTCTATTTGAAAAAGTTTCTTCCACAGTTTGGTAGCTGACATAACATGAACTTCTTCAGCCTGCCTGAAAAATGCAACCTCAATGTGCTTTTTGTGAAAACAAACAGATTAAGAGCTAAGACACATGCCTTGTGTCAATCCTAACACGTACATCAACTTTGTCTGCAGCCTGTGTATCCGGGAGTGCACAATCCAGTTCAGAATAATATTTACAGCACAGCTGGAAGCTAATCCCTGCCTAAGTAGCTACCCTAGAGTATCCTGTATTGTACTGACATCATCATTCTTGGATCAAAAACTCATAGATATGGCTTAGCTCATAAATGACTGCCTTATGAAACAAGAGGGTTTTATTGTCTGATTCTTTGTGCAACTGAAGTGCTGGTTTGCCACACGACAAATAAAAACTTGTATTCATGCACTGAGGTTCCTTTGGTGATGTGGGCAGACATGGCCTTACCCCAGAGCTTGAGCCAAGCTCCACTGTGTTGAACAGGTTTTATGAGGTGCTCAGCTCTGGGTGTATGCCCTTACTGCACCAGGGAACAACTGCACAAAGCAGGTTCTTAAGTGATATTTTAATGGTAATTTATGTACAGACTCACAAAACCAGCCCACAGAAATAATAATGCCATATCACAGCAGCTGAGAAAGTCCTTCCACAAAAAAAAGGAAAAATACTGTACTTTGAAGACAAAGTAACTATGACAACTGAGCATATGATACTTGTTTCTCCATCACTGTGAAATGTTGCATAGTTTTCAGTTTCAGCAGTCAAAAGACCATGGTTTGCCACTTGTTCAAACATGCTGGCATCTCTGTTACACATTATATCATTATAAAAAACCCCCGTTTTGCTTGCTTACAGATACTGTAACCAAACCTTTCTATAGATTTGCTTTTGGCTCCCTAATTGTTTTTCATCTAGAAATTGACTGTTTTGTAGGAATTCATAAGTTAAAGACTTTTGGGCATCTTGCCTTTTTCTTTTTTCTTTTTTCTCATGAAAGACACTAGCAGGGAGGGAAGGGAACTTGCTGGAAAATAATTGCTTTTATAAGGAATAGCTGAATTAATTTTCTTGGTGAGAAATATGTAGGGGGAGAGAAGAAAACACAGTTAGGACTTTTGTATTCATTTGTACAAGGGAAGCTTTTCCAGCTCTGAGTGGTCTGGCCCAGAGCTAAGGAGGCTATTTTGAGAAGGCTTGACCACAGATCTCCTGGAGCTCCTTTCAACCTGAATTGCTTCTGTGAGGACTGAACTGTTACTGATCTAAGCAAATGAATTTGTAGATGTTTTCCAAGCTTGACAGATGGTCTGAGTAGGACACCTTTCTTTAAGAAAATGTTCACCACAAGCATGCAGTACTCTGAGGTCATACAAAGGCCCACATGAACGGAAAGAGAGACTTTTGAGAGCAATCTTCTAAGAGAAAAAATGGGCCTCTGACAATGGTGGCGTTCTCATCACTTCATGTAACATAAATGGTCAGTGACTGGCTGGACCTCATCCTGACAACTGGGCTGCATCCATCCCAGATGAGCCAAAACCTGCAGCTGAACAGTGCCCCTCTTCTTTAATGCTAATAAAAAGTATAAATATATTGTTCAAACACACACACAGATGCACAATGTATACATCTCAAACAGTCCTAAAATTATACCCTTGGCCATGTCTGTAGAATCTTTTTCATGCTGCGTGTCTGCAAATCAGACCAACATTCTTTTGAAAGCTAAAAATAAGAAATTAAAAGTCTGGTCAGGCATCAGGTTTGGATTTGAAGATTCTGCTGTGATACCAAAAAGTGACAGAACACACAGCTACAGAAGGTGAAGCTATAGTATGAGATCTTTTAAAACATTAGCTGGTAATAGTAAGCAAAAATTTGAATTTATAGTACTTAATTTATGTTTATACTTGATTCTGATCTAGTTTCTCAAACTTACTGTCTACTGGAAGAGCTGGAATACTGGACAGAGAACTAGCTTGATCTATACCCTGATTTTAGAATTTTGCGTAAAGTAAAAAACAAAAATTATACTATCTTCTAACATACTAGTTCCTTGTCATCCCTTAATACAAGTGTAATTGGATAGAACAAAGTGAAAGACAATTGATATATATTAAAAAATAACAACTTACTACTTTAAAATATAAAATATGAAGAATTTTTATGGTAATAATCAAATGCAGCACCCAGGAAGATCATGCTTCTTCCACAGGCAACACACATATGGCCATTTCTCATTTGGAAATCAGAAGGAACTGGACGTGAAAGAAGGTATAAGTAGAAAATGTGGCTTTCTAGATCCTGAAACCTATGTAATTTGGTGACAGGGAGTGTGTCCAACTCAACTTTTTAAAAAAGTGGGTGTGCTAACCTGCACAGAAGACTGATCAACTGGAATTAGCTTCAGGTACAATGGATTAGTAGCAAAATAAAGTTAGATTTTGCAAAACTATGATAAATTTCCCCTGTGACTAATAGATAAATACCATTTATCAAGTGTCTACTATAAAAAGATAAACACATACTATTTATAAAAAATAAGTTTACAAATACAGTGCATTTTCACTTGTGGAGCTATGTTATGTGTATATCTGTCCATCCACTGAGTTGCTGGTAAGCAATACTTCAGCCTGGGTGAGAACGTTTACCACATTCTGTGTTAATGAAATGGGGCATCTTAAGTAATTTTTGCTTAGACAACCCTTGGTAGACTAATACACAGGCTCTGCCTGCAAGCTGGGAGAGGCAAACTGCAACAGTTTTGGCTAAATTAAACCAACACCACTCATTCCTTGGACATGAATGAATACAGACCTACACAGCAGTCAAAGTGCTCAGGCTTTTCTGACCACAGATTACAGAAGTGCAATGTTTGTTTTATAGCCATGAACCTGCTCAATGGACTCACGTCCGCCTTGAGCTTAGCAGCTTAAAATTCATTCCACACAGCCTGCAGTGCTGACATGGATACGATAAGACAGAAGAACAGAAACACCACTCTGAAGTAACCTAGCTGAACTGCACATGTTCTGACCCTTTTTGAACTCCCCGGAGCTTTTGTTACCTGGCAAATGCAGCTCTAAAACTGCTCTTGTATCTCCAGATCTTTGCTCTTAGCCATGCAGAAGCCAATTTCTCCTTGGGACTGGCAGTGAGAGAGGTGCTCTCTGAAGGCTTCTAAATGAGTGTGCACACTGAACTCTTACTGAACTGAATTAATTATTAAAGTTGCAGATGGAGCTGTCCAAATGATAAGAACAGCTCCTGACGTATCATGATCCAAGCTTTCATTAAACCATTTCAGGCATACTAATGGTTTCCCACCGCTCATTACTTACATGCTCTTTTCTCATAGATATAATAACCCTGGTGCCCAAAGGCATGACAGGCTATAGAAATAGTGAAGTTAAAAGTTCCTCAGAAGATGTACTGAGGAGCTTCATGCTTCCCCCTCATACTTCCCATTCTCATTTTGTGCAAAAATGTGCACAGATACAAGTAAAAATGTTTATAAATTCAGAGAAAAAAACCTGTAAATTAGAGGAGATTACTGTCAAAAAAGAGATTGTGTGCAATGCTATTAAAGTGAGAAACATAGAAGAGATTTGAGCCACATGTTAAAAAGTTTACCAAGGCAACATTCTCACATGCTACTGACACTAAATAAGCTACACTACAAATATAGCTCTTTGGTTACAATGCACGACATATTATTTTTCAGCCACTACACTTCTCACACTTCTTCCTCTGGTTTCTCTTGCTTTTTCAGCTGGGACGATTAGAGGGCAAAGCAATTGCTAGAGAAGAATTACTCCTAGGAACTGTGCTGTGATTGCTACCTGCTGTTTCATATTTTTCAAGTTGGGAATACTGCTCCCAAAAGCCTTTTGCGTCTCAGTCTAAATGATTTGCTGGAGGATAATAATGTCATGGCCAGTAAATAATAGTGAACTATGTCTGTACATGGTCAATATGATTAAATGTCCTTCACCTCTATTCTCACTCTGACCTGGTTATGAGGAAGTGAAAAAGCTGTCAGCAAAGCCCAAGGCTTCCCATGTGAAATGTTATTTTAGAGGAAGGGAGAGAAATATAGGTGACTTAGCAAAATACCCCCAGTAACAATAAAATACAGAAGGAGCCACAAAAAAAAGGAAAATTATCACCACACAACTAGACTTGACGTGACTTAACTATTGTAGCATGAAACTCAGAACAATTTTCAGAATAATTACAACTGCAAGAAACAACTTCATGTTAAAAAAATATTTTCTATCATGTTGAACACATTATCTTTCTAAGACTTTCAACTGCAATTGTAAATTTAATTTTTTTTAAAATCCCCATCATTCTGAGATAGGATTTAATTTGAATGTATTTAGAATAAACTCTGTGCAATTATTATGGTCTACATTTAAAACTTACTAACACTGTAATTTTTCTAATTCAAGTCATACACACATAAATTTTGGCATCTATATCCATGTCTTTGAAAATATGCCAATGAACTCTAACAACCTCTACATTGCACAACTATCTTTTCTTAAGTGATCACTCAAGGATTCAAATATTTTTTGATATAAACAGAGTAAATGCAAACCAAAACATTGGCCAGGAAATTTTTTTAGTAGAAATTTCCATAACCAAAGTATCAGTTTGTACTGTAAGTACAAAAAGTGGTGAAATATGATGTCTGGCACACAGATCTATAAAAGTCAAAGAAATTTCAAAATTATGCCTGATGCATGTGCTTCACACTGAAAAAATAGTATTTCTAAATACGGAAAAGTAGAATTCCTGAATTTGGAAATTCAAGTGAACTGAAATTCTGCTAACATTTCACAACTCGACTACTGTGAAAGGGCAGGAAAACATGTAACTATTTAAGATTTTAAAAGCATGAAAACAAATTAATTCATCCCTCCAAACTATCAGCAATTATGAGAAAAGGCCTGTATGTACACTGGCTATGTCCCCAGCAAGCCTTCTACAGTATTTCCCAAGTAAAGCCAGGCTTTAAAGATACAGAGCTTGCAGAGAAAACCAAGGTGAGCCAAAACGCACATCTTGCATTCACTGTGCTCACAAATTCCTCCACTCTGTAGTGTTGGCATTGTTAGTCTGAAATAAATGGGAGAAGTTCTCTCCCTGGGTTGACACGTGACTACAGGCTTTGTACCTGGAAGTGCTCAGAGAATTGGTAATCGATGTCTGAGTGAGCATTCTGTGTTAAGGGGACACTGGGGCACCCAGCCATGGGGGCACAGATGGGTGCAGGCACACAGGGACTGCAGCAATGAATGTGCACAGGCTTTCTCCTGGTTACATAACAGCCCATTATTTATACCAAAACAGGGGAACTTCTATGCTGACAGGCACTACATGTAACACAAATACACACAGAAGTAGGCATGGAAAAATGTGCATATGCAAATACACAGACGAATACTGTGTAAGTATAATGGAAAAAAATTTATTTAATTATCCATTGCATTAGAATACTCTTTTGAGATAATTATGTTGGATAATTAGCAGTTAAATTCTAGAATGTGTACAGTAGCGACTCAATTGAAAGCAATAATAATGGTTCCTTTTAAAACACCCCTGTGTTTAGTACTTCATTGATCTTTCATATGACTACACATGTCAATACGACCTTCAGAATTCAAGCCATTAGGAAAAAATGGCCATGCTGAAGTGCCACCACAGCTTTGACAATTAATCATTTGGTCAGCACTCTTTAAAGATTTCTATACATTTATATAACTATTAGTCACATTACAAATTGTTTCTAAGCATTTTTATGGAATGTCTTGTGAATAAGGATGGCATTGAATGAAATTCTAATTTAATTTAAATTTTTTTAATCTGCTGTGAGGCAACCTAAAAAGAAAGGAAAAAAACCCCAAACTTCTTACCAGAATAATAAAAGTAACAGGTCCGATGAAACTCCAGATAAAGTAGTTATCTACGTGTAGCCAGCAACTATTATGGAAGAAAGAGAATGAAAAGTGAAAAGCTGCATTAGCACCTCAGTCTGATAAAGGGAAAATGCAAAAATACTTCTTAAGGTAACACTTTGCCAGTAAACAATGATGAACATTGCACAGTACCACTTATTCCACAGACAACACGTAACCTGAACGTCTTCTAATGAACCCTGTGTAACACGACTGAACCTGAAACTACATCATTAGGAATAACTAACATAAGGAGAAACAAAACCAGAGCAAGCCCTCCTTTCAGTCAAAAGGTTTGGTGATAGGTGCTATCATGGACTAATGAAACTAACATCAGTAAATAATTTTTGCAGGCTTCCCATGTGATCTTCAAAGCCTGCCTTTAACTTTATACCACATGTTAAGTGCTCACGCCTGAGGAGTATGAGACAGAAAATGCTCAGATGCCATGTTTTGCTGAATAATAATATGGTATAAATAAAATGCCCCATCTGGGAGTTGAACTGTAGAGAAAGAATACATAAGATACCAGACTAAATGACGTATAAACCTATTAGGGCTAACTTCACTTAGCAATTCATTTTTCATACAGCCCAGTTCCCTGCTGAATTCTCTTATTTGTCTTTCATCAGTAGCAACATCAAGCAGCTTTCTTGTAGTCAACAATATCTTCCCCTTTTGTAACTAATTTCATCAAAGGACAAAATAAACACTACTGAAAGGCAAATTCATGCCTCCAGCAACTCAAATCCTCAGAAATGTTTCCTGTCTACCTTCTGTCACTTCCTATATACATCTGTATTTTTGTAAATAAAAGGCAGCGGCTAATTTTAATCCCACTCTACTTGCCTGATAAAATATTACCAAAATAAAACATAAAGGTTGGAATATTGTACTGTCATACTTTGGGATGAGAGCTAGCTAGAGGGACAGCTGAACAAAGAAATCTAATGAAGCATTAGCTTAAAACTGGGTGGTTAGGCTTGTCAGATACTTTAAGTTGAGAAATTTTGCTTAATATACATCTGAGTACAAAAAGTTATTTACTTTTTCAATTTGTTTCAGGTCAATCTTTTGTGTTAAAAGAAAGACCGTAATTTAGAATTGGTCTCTCTAGAGTACAAATCCCCTGAACCTAGAGAATTACAAAAGACTTGATTGTAATTTGTGCACAGCATTGCCATTCTCTTACCAATAAAGCTTTCAGATGGTATTTTAGTCTGTCAGGGACCCTCTGACAGCTAATAGGCTTTAAAAAATTATTCACTTGAAAAACACTCAGGTCACTTGCAATTACTTACGCTTTCTCTGTTCCGTAGCTCTTATAGTCAATAGCTGCTGAGACACCAACTACTGTAGCAGGGAAGAGGTAGCCAGCAACATAATAGTACTTCTTTCTAGAATATTCACTTTCAAATACTTCTACTAACATTAGATAAAGCTGCACTCCTTCTAGACACATCCAGGCAAAGGCTGCCAGGAAGAAAAAGTGTAAGAGACCTGCAAAAACCGGACATGCAATCTGCAAAGAAAGAGAGAGATGGAAATGTAAACCACTAAACCTTCACATCCCTACCTCTCCAACTGAACAGTGCAATAGAAACACTGCAGATAATTTTATTAGAAACCTTGCACAAATTTAGGAGCATCTTCCATACCTCAAAACATACTCTGAACATTCAAAAACACCAGTATGTGCTTAGTAGCTACAGAAAGTGAATTAGCTGAACAGTATGAATGAAGATATGGAAATTGCACCCTTATCACCCAGTCATCAATTTCAGAGTGGACTTGTTAATTTTATAAGCAACTTTTTTCTTTTGAAACTGATATAGTTTTAGGACTTACAGTTTAGATAATCCTAGACATGAACACTTGGTTCTCTATGCATAATGTGATACTGCATATTTAAAATTATGATGTGTCTGCCCCATGATTTTTGTCTGTTGTAATATGGAAATTTCTACTGTTGTTACAGAAATTGGTCTGAATTCTTTCCCCATTGGCCAAATTCTGGATGAAACTATGCTAGATTATTAGTTTCAACCCAATGAATCATGTCAGAATTAATTTCACCAATACCACCAAAATACCTGCTTGAATGTGAAATGTGTAAATGTGTATACATATGGAAAAGGCTTTGTACTACTATATATAAAATGTAGCCAATACTTGTTAAGACATTTGAATAGATATAGAAAACATATTTATGTTCCTAATAGTCAACATTCAATTTCATCTCCTCTTTCAAAAGTCTAACCACCTGCTTTGTTAATAGTCAGTGTTTCTCAACTGAAAATAAAAAGCATATTTTGGATGGATGTAAATACTATGTATGAATATATCTATCTTATTTTCATGCTGAGCTTTTATTTTAGCCTTGCTGTGTTGGAGTGCTAAAAACTTGTCAGTGTTGTCATGTTTTAATTCAAATCCATTTCAAACAGTCATTTCAGAGAACGAGATCAGTACACAGAGAGAAAACTTACCTTGTACTCTGTCTTATCGATGCCTATTAGGAAAATGAACTCAGCAATGAATAGGTTGATACAAAGGTTCTTGTGAATAGTGTTACGATCACTTTGCAGGCCACGGAAAAAACAGAATGTGAAGATGCAGATGGCCAGGCAAACAAGAGAGATGACAATTCCCACCCAGGTGATGACAGTGAGGAGCAATTCGTGCACTCCATCTTTGTACTAGAAATAACCAAGAATGGAGAAAATTAATATGACTCTTTATGAGTATAAACAAAAACCTATTTTCACAGGTATCTAGAAAAGTTACTTGTTCATTACATGAGATGGGCAAAATGTTCCCAGTAATTTCTCAGTCTCAGGTCAGCTTCCCAGAAGAGCAAGATAGGGTAAGTCAAAGAGGAGAAGGTCTGAGATAAAAATGTGACTATTTTATCCAGATCAGATAGCATTTTTACTTTTTCTATGGCTCACTGCAGACTGATTGGAAATACGAGCAGAGAAACATAACGTTTTTAAGGTACTACTAGGCTCTGATGAAAGGAGAGAGGAAAGCTTTCCCTAGGACTTCCTACAGACCTGCAACTCCACAGCAGAGAAGAAAGCAATGCTTTTCACAATGATCAGGACAAAACGCAGAATATGCTGCCCATGTAATTCTGGCTTCAATCTCATGTTTAGCTAAAGGAGATTCCTTACTTCAATTCTTCACAGTGACCTTTTCAAATACAATGGCTTAATGAGAAGTCACCTATCCCTGCAAATATTGCATGCTCTTGGGTCCCTGACATGCAGGAAGTGCTTTAAACAGACAACAAAATTTCTGACTATGAAGAGGTGTTTAAACAAGCAGTATGGAAGTTCCTTGACCTTCCTTGCCAAGGAGAGCTGGCACTTGGGCTTCCAGGGAACAGCCTGCACAGCTGTCTCAACAGGCACTCTCCATCTGTACTGAGGGAGAGTCTATAAAATGGTTGTAAGGTTGGTCAGTAACTTTAAAATATGGCTTGTAGAAAACTCTTTTCTTCTTTGTTTTCTCTTCCCTGTTATTTTGCTTGCAACTTTATGGATGTGGAAGAAAAGTGCTACAGAAAGCAAATTGCTTTGGAAAGTGTGGGTAGGAGCCATAAATACTAAAGAAACTTCTACAATTTTGATCTTGCTAAAAATTTAAAGCTAAGTCTTTTAAGTTTATTCCCTGTTGATGGCTGGAAATATCATTACCTACCACAATTTCCCGACGAGCCATAAGAATTGCAAAGTTGGTGAGGTGACTGCAGGCACACGTTGTATGAGTTTTATTTGTGTCAACCAGTTTGCAGCCTTGAGTTGACCAGTATCCCATCATAGTCCTCTCTGAGTAGTTCCAGAAGGAACAATTTGCATTGAAATAATTGTCAGGCTGGGAGATAAAAGGAAAACATAAAATGAGGATTTTACACACTAAGATGGCAATAACAATTGTTTAATATGTGTAAAAAGTAATTTAGATTAAACTTTGCACGTTTTGGACAATAAAGTTTTTCATCAGCAAAGCTGTGCACTATGTTGCACAAGGAAGACATCTAGTTTAAAAGGGTCTTTATAGTCCAAAGCACTCTGAAATGTAGTCTCAATTCCTGTAGACCCCTTCTTAAACAATTACAATTTTTATCCACGGATGGTACATTATAGCTATTTTTGCTTTCTGGAAAGTTAGGTCTGTGAATTTATTCTGAAGATATTTTTTTTCTGTAATTGACAATTTGAAAACAGGATCTTTCTCCTTTGGTTCTCACCTTTGGTCAGGCCAAAGTCATATGAATAGGTATCACAAAAAATTTCACTCCTCAATGCCTATCTATTTTGATGAAAAAAAAATCTAACCATATTTTCTCTATCACAGTAGTGACTGTTTATTTTCCCCATGTCAGACATGAAAAGAGAAAGGGACAAACTTAAGAGCAAAGAAACACATTAAACAAAATACCACGAATAAAATATACGTAAATTCAAAGTATAACAGATCAAGATACCATACTTTATTTTTGCTGAATAAATGCAATTTGAAAAAATTGTATAAGCTTTCATAACTTGGTCCATAATTAATGTAAAAAGTTAAAGAGTCTTAACACTTACTACATCAAACCATCAAGAATCTTATTTTCTACCCCTCTACTAAGGTAAGAGTTAATTTTCAGTTAGAAACAAATGAGTCATTTACATTTTCATGTTGATTACTGAATTAGCTTTCATTAAGAATACACTTAAGTTCTAATAATCACTGAACCAGGCTCATTTAATTTTATGTTCATAGACTTAACTCGCATCTCTGACCTAGTCCAACATTTAAAATTCAAATGGAGAAAAAGGTTGTTTTTCTGCATTGCGTTTCTCTCTTGCTGATTTTGTGACCTTCCCATTGACTCATTAGCATAACTCACATCAATGTGTTCCAGTGTGAAATGCACAGGATCAGTCAGGTACACCCGGCTCGACTCCTTGTTGATGGAGGCCGCGATGACGTGGGAGTTGACGGCGATCGTGCTGTTCTGCCCCGCCAAGTCACTGCCTAACTTTATGGTTGCATTTTCAGTACTGAGGAAACGACCCAAACTTTTGTAAATAATGAAAACCAGTTTGGCTAGTCCTACAAAAGGGGGAAAAAAAGCCCATCATCACTCCACTGAGGACTACAGCAACCTGCACTCTAATGACAATTAAGCATCAGTAAACTGAGAGGTATTTTCAGGCCACAGACTTGAAGAAAAACAACAAGGTACCCATGATCATCAAAAAAAAAAGCCACAGAGAGCAGCTTTGTGGTGTTTTGTTTTGATATTTTAACTAGGTAAGGTAGGTTTTATAGAAGTTAATGGAGTTCCACTGTTCCGTGCCCAAGGCTCACCGTTCCTGCTGTTCTGTTTCATGGTTCGTGCAGAGAGCTGAATCCAGTTGCCTCCTTTACCAGCCTGAGGAAATCGCAAGTCCTGCACTTGGCCCTCAGTAGAAAGCACTGCAACATCCAAAACTAAGCAGAACAGAGGAAAAAAAAAATTTAAGAAAGGAGAATGCAGAGAAAGTCTCTTGGCCAGATTATGATATGCCTGACGACAATCTTTTCCCCCAGTCTTTATTTAGTTTTCTCATATGGCTGTCTGTAAGGCAGATTTGCACTGCATGCTTCAATCACCCAGACATAGCTTCTTTAACTAAATCTAATGCACACTGCTAAAATGACAGCATTTTATTAGTGATAACACGACATCAAACCTTGCTCAAATTTGTGCCCACAAAACATCCACTTAAAGATACTACATACATGTTGCAAAAAAATGTTAGTTTTGAAGATCTTAATGTCTATGCAGTATCCTCTGCTGACAAATTTAGAACTTTAAGTATTGATTTAGAGTTTTTTAAACAGTCAGCAAAAAATACCTAAGTATACTCATGCCACGTATTTAGCTAAATCAGTATGCATAGCTAAAAATTATTTCCAATTTTTTTTTCTACATCTAATTCTGTATATTTATAGGAAACAATTTTATTAGTTCTGCTAATAAGCATTTAAGTTGAAAAATAAGATGCCACTCAGTATTACTTTTATAACATATTTCATATCCGGAAATTTTTATGGGATTACCATTGAATGCTGGATTTTCTTGGATAGATAAAATCATATAGGTGAACATGGACAATTGGTTGACAAAATCTGTGTTATATTAAACCAGTCTAGCTACAGCTCTGAACTACAGACTGACAAAAAGTATGAAATTAGGAAATCACTTCTCTTTCTTCAAGTCATACATACATATGTGTACTAGCAACTCAGTCTTGCATGGCATCAGGGAAGTGTCACTATGTCATGAAGACAGCTTATCACAAGAAGTAATATTCAGTGTCTACTCATCTCCATGGAACTGCTTGTGTGCATCCAAAGGCAGATCTGTGATTCTACCCACATTCCTTCAAAACAACTGGTGCAGTTCCTTTGATAACAAGCTGTGAGACTTTTCCCCATCCTTTCCCCATCTTCCTACTCAATTAAAAACTAGGCGGAATCATCTACAGCTACCAATATGCAGACACTGAAACGTGAAAAGTCTCATTTCTGCAGTCTGTTCCAAGTCTCTATCTTGGTACTCTGCATATTAGCAGACTTTCAGGTTCCTTGTACCTTCCTAAGACTACATTAATCTCTGTAATAAGGAATTTTAATTTTATGCATAGCAATGATTTTTGCTTTAGCACATCCTGTGCAACAATATTTGCACATTTCTAATACCAAACCCCTTCATTTCTCTGTCACCACTTAAATTCTAAATTACGCTCCAACTATCTCCAGCTATTTTGCAGTCTCTGGAGCATAGCTATTCTGCATTATGGGAGATGTAGTTCACTGAACACATTTTTACCTGAAGGCAGTCATGTTTAATATAAACATTTGGCCTATGCTGAGTGCCTAAAATATTTAACTGGCACAGTACATTGCAAAAAAAGTAATTTAAATTTATTAGGAACAGTTTACATTTAACAGGAATATATTTTCTGCAGCTCTACAGAAAGCAGTTACCTCAAAAAATCCATACTCTGCCTTTTAAGCGCTCTTCAAATCCACGCATTCTGTTAATGATTTTTCAGAGATAAATCAACTTTGTAACATCAACTACTTTCCATTTTATAATGTACTAATGACAATAAAGAAGAAGGCTAATTTCAAACAAGAAAAGTGTGTTTTCCCTGCTTTGGAGCACTCACCTTTCCATCAAACATTGCACAGCTCAGCCTTCAGAAAGTATGTCGCTATCTGGAGTACTTTTTCCTCCTTTTGTGTAAAGCAATACACAGCACTTTAACTTATGCTCAAAAAGAAGTTTACTTACCAATATTTTCTGTGGGCATTGAGACTCTGCTTGGTTCTACAAGGTTATCAGCCAAGACAAAAGCCCCTTCTTCTAATGTATCAAGTAACATTGTGGCTGCGTGGGCTTGTTCTGAAGAGTTCATGTCCTTCCAGGACTCCAGAGCTTCAGGCCTGAGCAAGTTGTCCACTGTATCCACAACTGCCTGCATTCATTAGAAAACTATCATTAGGTCTGAAGCCCTAGGCAGCTGGGGAAAATTCCCAATGTTATACGGCGACAATTATAATACTTAACTGTCAGAATGATTTACTGTGATTTAATGGCACAAGAACACTATTTGCAACATTAAAATATTTTCCATCCGTTTGTTGGATTAGCATGAATAGAAGCGCAGCTAGCCACTAGCATTGTGTGGTCTCTAAGCAGTAAACATGCAAATTTGACTTGTTTTGTATCAGATATAAGTATGGTATTATTAATGTGCTGAAAAATGTAAAAATAAATGCCAGAAGTCTTGCCTGAAGCTTTCATCTTAATGTCAAAATGTATAACTTCTATTTAAAAATGCTAACGCCAAAATTAGCACTCTGCAGTTTAGGCTAAAATGACAATAATAGTCCTCTGGAAACTGAGCCCCACTAGTGCAGCCATAGTACTATAAACTACTTGTCTATAACAAATAGACCTTCTTTATTACAGGAGGCACGAAATGAAGCTGACTCAGTGGATATAAATTAGTTTTGGCCACTCTCACTCCCCCTCCTTTTCCTGTACCTGTTCATAGATACTTAGAAGGATTACCAACTCCCATTCCTGCACAAAGGTCAGTTAGAAAAGGAAATCAATAGAGCAAACAAGATGTCCACTGACCGTTCCTGTTAGCGACGGCAAAACTGTAAAGCTGAATAAAAGCTGCTATTTCAAAAAGTTTTACTTGTAACAACTCTATCATCATGCTTTAAGGTTCACTGAGCTGCATATAAGGTAGTAATAAACAAGGAAGAAGAATAATTCAGTGACATGATTACATTATTTTACAAAATAATCCAATCAGAGTAATCAGGTAATCAATTGAAGGCAGGCTTTTACATTAATGCATAACGCTCTGTGCACCGAGTGTGCTGTGCACTGAGTACAGCAGGCACTGCTGTAACACCCTGTTTACTCTGTCCCATTTACCTATTCCTAATGTGTCATTAAGCATATATATAATTTGTTTGATCAATTTAAAAGCATTGGAAATGGAAACAGAACACATTATACAAACAGAAAGATGTCAGTCTGGAGTACTATATTGTGCAAACAAACGAATGGGAAAACTTGGTCAAGGCTATTGTCAGAGCAAGATTAATTAGCCTAATCCATTTCAATATCCTCTTTCTGTCTGCATTGTGAGCCACCACGACCTTCCTGACAGGTGGAAGATACTTCGAAGTGGCTTTAAAGCCTTTTTTCTTTCTCTAATGGGAGAATAGTCAAAATGCTCGCACTGATACTGCTGCAGCCATTAACTAGAGTGGAACAGAAATTGGTCTGCAGAGGCCAGATTCATTAGTCACTAAGAAATACAGATTGGAGCCTCTAATCTGAGGTACAAATGAATTCTCTATCACAAAGTGGGAACTCGCTTCATTTGCATAGTGTAAGTCAGCTTTTGATTTGTAATTTCAAGAGGTTTATTAGTCTTATCTAAGCAGAGAAGCCCATTTGAGACCTACAGAAAATGACACCAGTTGGAAATTAAGGTTCTGCTCTGGTTTCTCATGTATTGCCATACAGCACTGACGGTATGCATTCACTGATACGATACGCTTTTTGCTTATTATGGCATAACCTAACTCTGCATTTTCCTTGTGGAAAAACATCACCTGCCCAGTAGTATTTCTGATGTGCTTCTCCTCTCAGAGAGAGGCAAATGGATGGGAAAAACCCCACAGCCCCTGTGACACAGTTGTCAGAGAAGCCCTGTTGCTGCTCTTCTCACGATCCTGTTTGCTAATGAAAAGGAAGCAGAAAAACCCACTCTACCCAAACCATATCTGCTGGATTACCCTTTACTATTAAAATACATTTTCTAATATAAACTATTACAACTATTATTGCTTGAGAAGCGAATTTCTCGCCAGATCTCTTTTTTTGTCAAATTTCAGTATAACTGGACATCTCCCATCCACTTTCAGGGCTTTAGGATAAAGGACAGAGGTGCCCTGTACAGAGAAATCTCTTTTCAGTAAGAGTCTGAATTTTATTATGTTGGAAAGTATTTCAAAATTCTTTCCAAAAATAATTCTTACATTTCATCTCAGAGGATACAAGTAACAATCAGTATTTTTAAAGAGGTTTTGAAAAAATCTGCAACAAAACCTTTCAGAGCCAGACATGTCTGTTCTAGGACTTTTTTCTCCCCGTTATAAGGGCGAGGTGACATTACTGGCATTGTACTGCAGCAAAGGAGCTGGCCACTACAGGCAACCATTCTATAGCTGATGAAAGGATCTGGAAATCAGGTAGCAATGTGTTACACGCCTTCTATATAGCCTGGTTAATGGGACACGTGGCAGACATTTTACTAGTGAAGTTAGAGAAATGTTTGTCTTTGCATTGTATCCTCAAGTCACTGAATTGTAACAATTCTTAAAACTGTAAGAAGGAGTGATTTTACTAGGCATAAGAATACACACAAAGCAAGCTACATAATGTATCTTTTTCTTGCAAGCAAATTAACTCTAAACAGTCTTTGATATAAAATTCTACCCAAGTGAACTAATTTCTTTGAGTTGCAAGTTTTTTACCCCTGCCCAAAATTTTTTTACAAGAGAGATGTACTTCCAATTCAGATAATTATCCCTTCTGCTCTTTTAGTTTCAAACGGGTTAAAGTACAAGAGGTATGAACTTTGATTTTTTTTTTTCTGAGTGTTATACCTGTGCAAAGCCAACATTTGTAAAGTTGATATGGGGCACAATACACATTTATCAAAGACTGAAATACATAGGATCATGCAGCAAGATGATAAAGCGTGGCAGGTTGCTGAAGCAGGGAGAAAGCAGGGTGACAGCACAGGAGATATACCTTAAGGTAAGCCCTGCACGTCTTCTCTCGTTTTTGGAGCTTTTTAATAAGGAAAAAGAAAATCAGAAGTTAGAAAGATTCTGGAAAACTTCAGAAAGAGAAAAAAAAAATACTCTGGTGTTTCAAATCCTGATTTTGAATGACAGCCTGGACATAAATCTAGTTTCTCTCCATGATGACTACAAAAGAACATCACACAGGAAATGTTTTTTCCCAGCTGTGGTTTAAGCCCAGCTGGCAACCAAAGACCACACAGCCGCTTGCTCATTTGCTCACCAGCAGGATTGGGGAAAGAATCACAAGGGTAAAACTGACAAAATCCACGAGTTGAGACAGACACAATTCAATAGGTAAAACAAAATAAAATAAACCAGGGAATTAATTCACTGCTTCCCATGGGTAGGCAGGTGTTCAGCCATTCCCGGAAAAGCCAAGCTCCATCACATGGAATAGTTACTTGGGAAGACAAACACCACAACTTCAAAGTCCTCCAGTTCTTCCTAATTCCCACCAGCTTTATATGCTGAATATGATGTCACATCACATGTATGGAATACACCCTTGGTCAGCTGGGCTCAGAGGTCCCAGCTGTGTCCCTCCCAAATTCCCATGCACTCCCAAATTCCTTGACAGGGCAGCAGCAAGAAAAGAAGAAAATGCTGTGAAAGTGCTGCTCAGCATTAACAAAAACATCTTTTTACCGAAGATATGAAAGATTTATTGCAGCACAAATCCAAAACGTAGCTCCATGCTAGCCACCGTGAAGAAAATTAACTCTACCCGAGCCAAAAGCAGCACAGCAACCTTTACTCAGGGGTCTAGATATCTTTTGCCCAAATGGTGGGGTTTGTATGAAAAGGTCAAAGGAAAAAATCTGTGTGTGGGCACTTGATCTGTCTCTGGGAAAACTATTTTAAGGGCATCTAGGGACTGTAAATAAAACTATTGCCAAAATAACAGAGAAGTGCACGGATCTCTCTCTCCAAAGGAGGACAAAAAAATATTTCATTTGTGGCTTGCTGACTTGGCTCATGCAAGGAAGAGGCTGAGAAATATAGCATTTCCTCTGAGAAAAAGAGGAAAGGTAATAACACTGTAATTTGTATTTAAACCACAAAGACATATTTTTTCTGAAATGTTTCTTGGAACATGTTTCCAGAGAAAACATTAATTCACGTTTTAGTTATGTGCAGTAAGGCCTTTTTCTAAAGATCAATTATAAGTCATGTTGGTGTCTTTAGAAGTCTAAGAAAGTGCTATTATTCTGCAGGAAGTTGGATTAAAATAAAACCCTGCACCTATGCAGAATTCCACTGATTTTATTACATGTTCAGGGTTAAAAGGATCACTGGATAAACATGCTGATTTGTTACAGAATTTCTGAGAGCTAATACTCATTTCCCTCACACTAGTTATAATGTATTCCAGATTTTAATATGGGACACAGCTATGTATTTTAGGACCAGTCAGCTATTGTGAATTATATCTTATTCCCTAAAGAAGGTAATTACAACTTTCTGCTGTGTATTTACTGCTGTTTTCTCTCATACGCTTATTCCAGAACTGTACACATGCAGGAACAAAGTATAGATTAATATTTCTGAAAGGAAAAAAATACCAAACCCAAGAGCAATTGTTATCCCAGCAGGAGGAGGTGATGGGAGGTGTGTACCTTGTTATAACTCCTTCCAGCGGAGTCTTTTTCACTGGGCCGTAGTTCCTGAAGCTGAGCATCCAAAATGTCCACGAGCTGTTCCATCAGCCTCACTGATGAACTAACATCGCCAGCAAAGACTGGTCCTTTGGTGTGTTTAGCCAGTTCATTGGCCAGACTAGCAGCATTTTCTCCACTTCTGATCTGAAATGACAGTTTCTATTATCTCAGCAGGGTCCCTTGTTCTGCTTGCGGCTCCTGATTCCAATTCCCTGTGTACCTTTGTTGTGGTGAAATAACCATTTGCACATACATTGAAATCTGTAACTAATTGAGACCAATAACGTTCTCTTTATCTCAGAAGATTAAAGGTTCTTAGATCCGTGACACACAAAAGCAGTTCTTAACAGCCATCAAAACCAGAAATCTGAGTGAGACTTTTGGGCTCGATCTTCTGTTCATCCTCACTTTTATTTTACTGCATTATCAGACAGTAAGAAATCTGTTTGTTCATACCAGTGCTTGAGGCATTTGAAAGTCAAGTAGCCTTGTACTGACAACAAATTATCCAGTTTTCATAAACTTTGTAAATCTCAATAGGAAAGGAAAACACAGAAAGTGGTTCTGCGGTCTAATCATACTGTTATCAATGCACTCAGACAAAAATCTATTTATTACAGTGTCATTTCTACTGAATAAAAAACCCCTTGCTGTATATCAGAGGTTTTGCTATGTGTTGTACAGTATTTGATTTTTTAAGCAAATATTCTTTTGGTTTTTGAAAACAAAGCAAAGCTACTTTGTTTCAAATAGTGATGAGAACATGCAATCACAAATTCAACATAAGAATTTAGAGAGGCCATACTAAAACACACATAAGAACATAACTGTTGGCCAGTACTTCGCACATGGAGTACACATAACTCCTTCTTTAATGAACACAGAGTAATAAAGACAACTTCAACAAACTGAAATATTAATGCTCAGAGTTAAAATCCTTAATCACCAGTGTATGCCAGATTAAAAGGTTTCAACCAACCTTCTGAGCCAGCTGATTTACCCAGTGTGAGGTACAGTTGCTAAGATCAGGGCCTTTGGGGTTCCACATTCCCGTTAAGACCACGCAGAGATACGAGGCAGTTCCTACAACAGATGTAGAAAACTACAGTGAAATGGAAACCATTTTTCTGCATGCATTCAGGAAATTGGCTACACTGTGCTCCTAAACAACATTCAATCCTGAATGCTGCTAATGGTAGTACTTGACAATAATTGACAAAAACGTAAGGAAATAATGTAGATCACAAAGAGCAATAAAAAAAAAGTCAGTGAAAAGTACCAGACGTTTTCTGCAAACAAACAAAAAGCCCTTGATTTTTCCTGGAGCTCATCCAGAGGGGAGTTGATAATGAGAAAGGCAGCTGTAAGCATATTTCACAACAGTTCTCAAGCAATGCCCTAAAATTTGACCTGGATTCACACAAGTGCAAGCGCAAGGTAATTCTGTGGCTATGCTCAAATGACGATTGCAGATTTTAACTTGACCATTGCCTGTAGATACTGCACTCCCTGGGTAACAAAAAAATCATGGGACAGAGAGCCTGAGATTAAAAAATATTCATTACGAGAGAGCTGCATATTGCTTTTGAAATGTCTGCTTGACATCAAGATATAAAGGCAATACCTCGTGTTCCTTTGGGGCAAGGGCGTTCAACCATCATTCCTCTTTGTGTTTGAGGCCAGCTAATCCCCCTGGCCTCAGTCGGTTCACAGAATCTCTCTGGCAAAGGAAAAAAACTTGTCACAGGAGGGATTTTGGTTGTGGAAATGGGTGGCAGTGGTTTGGGTCCTCTGCTTCCTTCCTTTGTTCCTCCAGCTGATGTTGTGCTTATGGGACCTCTCTGTGACGTAGTGCTAGTGGTTGACACTGTGGTTTTGTAAACCTCTGCTGAAGAAGTTATTGTCACTGCTGTGGTAGGCACTGCACAGGGAAAAAACAGAGTAATAATAAAATAAATTACTTCAGAATTATATACAAAAAATGTTATTTAAAAACTATTTATGTAGCTTTCGAGGATTCTCTGGCGTCTCCTTTCCTTTATCTTAATATTACTCTTATTGCTATTCTGGATGCTTAAGATATAACTTTGAAATTTTTTGGGGTTTTTTTTTCTTTTTTTACTCCCAGCTCATCCTGTTATGACATTTCAGCACATTCTCCAAATAATCTCCTCTGTAATAAAAATTGATAGTTACATTTCTAAAAGCTGAAAGGCATACTAGGGAATTATCAGTACACAACAAACACGCTCAAAGCAATTAAAGATTACTTAATCACATTTGCAGCAGGAACAACTCAATAGATAGAATCATTTGAATCAGTGTGCCATGAACAATGTAGTCCAGCTTCAACAACAAAGGCAGCGGGCTGTAACTAACGAGACCATTTTTGAAAAACAGACCCCCAAATTTCAAGTCACCCAGCACACACCTTCCAGGGCAATAATTACGATAACATCTTCCTACCCAGCAGTCGTGCTGCTTGAGAGAGCTGCATGCCCGATTAGCTCCAAGCAGAGGCAGCACCCAGCAGGTACATGGCGTTCTGCTCTTTGAACATTCGGGGCTTTAACATCCTTTTTTGATAGAGCAGGTATGAAGACATAACTCGTACAAGCCAGTGGCAAGGACTGAGTTTTCATCTTCCGTGAAACACCAGGACAGGCTTAGGCCAAATCCCTCCTGCTCAGGATGTGCAGCTGCTCCTGCCACTGACCCACAGCAGGAACTCATGGCTGGAGCTGCTGAGGTACAGCCCGAGCCATACCAGGGTTTTCAGGCTTTGGAGAGATAATATAAATTAATGCTAGTGCAGTCTGGAATGGCTGTGCAACACCTTCACAGGTATATGGAAAAACAACGCAGGTGAGTAAAGCAACTGCAACCATTATCATTATTTCCAAATATTCATTAGTGTTCAAAATGCTTTACAGGCACAGAACAGTACAGAGGCTTGTGCTGAGAAAAAATAAGCTCACGAAAAATATTTTTGGCTTTTTTCTTTCTCTTTTTTTCTTGTTCTGCTAGGCCGTTGCATTCTTGACTTACTGGACAATCAGCTTCTCTAAATTAAATCATAAATAAAATAAAACCAAAATAAAGAGCAGTCTCATTTTTTTCAGCAGCTGTTTTGTAAATCAGTGTTTTGTAAAATATTAAGCTTCAGCTGTTTGACAAATTACAATTTTCTCAAAACCCTTTTTCAGTTATGTTTCACTTACATTAGAGGTTTAGAATATTATTTTTTTTTTTACATGAATTTAGGGCGAAGTTTTCATCATCATGATCTGTTTTTTCAAGACTAAAGGCAAAGATGTTCCTATCATCCCTCTCCTGCTCACAAACTTCTGCAGAGCCTGTCTTCTCTTCAGTCTCATTCTTGGCTGCTTGAACACAGCCTGTGTAATTGTGCTGAACTTGTGGTGTAGCCAGCGACTATTGAAACCCTCAGATCTGTTCTGCAAGTGCTTGCCTGACATCTTGTGAAACTGCTCTAATTTGCTTTTGATTACAATGCATCCAGCCTTCTAGTGCTTCCCAATTAACATTTGTCAAAAGCATTTGCAATCACTTGCACAAGTGTCAGGCAAGGCCTGCTGAATCAGGTCCTCGGGAACAGAGAGCTCATGGGGATGGAGAATGATGCAGGGGACATCCAATTATTACAATCCATCTCCTAATACACTCTGCTAATTAATACATATTTAAACATCAAAATGGGTATTAGCATTATTGCAATTAATACTCAAACCCTGTAATGTTTAGGACAGTTTTGTCTCAGAAGTAAAAAAATCAGTGTCAGATTAAACTCTTTGAAGTTCAGTTGTGAGGTAACAATTTTCAGAACATATTTGGTATTGCACCCTGTGATAAAATAATTCTGCTGTCATTACACAACTTTAGTTAATACAATTTTCATGCTATCCATTAAAATCAATTTCAAAGCCTATCACCCATGATTAAAAAATGACATACACAGCATGGTAGTACTACATAGAAATATATAAGTAATCTCACATTGTAAGAGAAAGACTTTAAACCACCTCTCACAAAAAGAAATTAAAAACATTGCAGATAACTTCTAAGAGCTTTTCTCTTCAAGCAAATTTTTGAAAATAAGTCAGCATATTTAAGAATGCACCAAGAAACTTCAGACAGTGCAGGAAGTCTGGGAAAGAAGGTGGTTGAAAACTAAGAAACAACCGAACACATCACTTCAAGGAATATATTTAGCTTTTAGAAAGCAGGTCATTTTGTCTTTAATGACCTGGGGGAACTTAATCTGCTCGGCCATTCTCCTGAGCTGCACGAAGACACATGAGAGCTGCCACCACCTGATGTGTCTCGTTCGGAGAGTGGAGGGTGGTGGCATCTGCAGGCTCTGCCTTGCAGAGCACTTTGCTCTGCAAAGTAATGGCAGTGATGATTAACAGGCTGCAACAGAGAAGAGGAACAAACCCCATGTCAAGGTTATTAACCTATTGTTCTAAGCAGCAGGGGTGAAGCTATGTAGTTTTTGTCCAACTCCAAAAAAGCCACTTTTACAATGTGAGATGCTATTTTGACTTTTTCACTAGGCTTGATATACTGAGGAGAAAAGCAAAACCTCTTCTGCCTGCTTTTTTATTAAGAATAGGTTCTTCTTGCTGTCAGCTGAAGACAGTCATTAAAATTAACAAAATAAGAGAAAAGAGCAATAAGAAGTAAATCCAAAGACTCAAATTGAGGTATAATTAATTTACATTTGTTGCACGCAGTTCCTAACAGTTGATTTAAACAGTTATGTATCCTATGTGTTACTAAAAATGAAGACACAACTGGAGTAAAACTTAACACCTGTTTAGCAGTGTGATGTCTATAAAAAACTTAACACAATTGCTGTAGGACAGCAGGGGAATAGTAACTTTCTTTCCCCAACTATCAGTGAAGAGCAGATTTAGAGAAAGCATACAAGCTATCTAGTATTCCTTGCCAACAGGTTTCTATTCTAGGCAGGCATAAAATAAGTTATTTTAAAAAATAAAACTAAACCAAGCCAAATCAAAAATATCCCCACCCAAAATACAACTCTAACCTTAGATTTACAATTGTGTTAATTGTAATGCCCAAATGATGTGCCACTTCTGAAAAAGGTTTCATTCTCCCCTCTGGCATCCAAGTCATTTCAGAAATCAGCTGCACGGATTTTTCAGTTAAATGTATATTTTTATAGGTCAGGTATTTCAATTTAGTTGGACACATGAAAATCTACGTGCCCGCCTTTATTGTCAAAAGGTGTCATACACAGAGCTGCTATGTAAAACAACAGAGATCAGAAACCTGTGCAAATCACAATTTTCCTACCTTCTGCTTATTACTGATCTCTACCTCTTCTTGTGCTTCAGTGAATAGCAGGGAAGGTACTAAGAGTCACCTAATTACCTATAGGTGACTCCAGCTATTGTGTTAGTTAGTACTCTGTTGACCCTGCCAAACCCCATTCAATTGAAAATGAAATGTTTACACAGTCATTTATAAATTTATACCTTGAAAATGATAACAGACATGACAAAAAAATATAGCAAAATACCTGTGGTTAAGAAATATGCTATCTGGTCCCCATTATATTGTCTTTACTTGTACAACCACATTTTCATTCATCTGTAGTCTATCAGATTTGATATACTAGTACAGACCCAATTTACCTAATTTGCTGCATGACTTTCTTGTAGATTCTTGGTGTTGCACTAGTTTCCTATTACTTCAAGCCCTTGGTGATGCTACTCTCTGAGTTTCTGTTCTGTCCATACTCACAACATCCATCTCTTCCTGCAGTGATCCAATAATACTTAATGATGGGTATCATGGCACAAAAGGGGAGACAACTACAGTTTGAACAGTTAGCACAAATTGGGATGAGTGTAGATGAAATCTCTCCCTAATGCACTAACACAGAACAAAAGGATTTATCTTCTTTTTGTTACCAAGGAAACCTTACAATGTAATGCTCATATTCAATTTTTAGAGGTAAAATTCCCTCATTCTTCCTGGTCTTTTAACTTGGAATTCCTTGAAAAAGTCCTGTTTCATCAAGGATTCATTTGGACCATTGGTACCTCCTGTAGAAAGAATGTACCTGGATATATCCACTAAATTTACCAAGGATTTAAAAACTCTGGTTTGTCTCAAATTTTTCAGTGTCTTTTTGCAAGGCCTGACATATTTGATTTCGTTTTAAAATTAGGGTTTTGACTTTTAAATACTTTTTACACCTAATCTTAGAAAACATGCTCTTCTGCAACATCTGAGCGGTACTTGACAGCTGTAGCTCTGGAAATCATTTCCACATCTACACCAGAGAAGCACAGCTGCAGGCTGAATGTTTTACACGAAGCACTGTCTTGGCAGACACCTTGCAAATGGCACCATCTTGGCAGACACAAGCAGACACTGCAGAAACAGGAGGACCCCTTGCAAATGCAGTTGGGGCATTTGTTCAGCATCAGATTGCAGATGTGATGCTCAGGGACATGGTTCAGTGGGGGACTCGGCAGGGTGAGCTTTATGGTTGGACTTAATGATTCTTCCATCATTCTATGATACGTCTGTGTATTATAATTTCTGAGAGAAGCAGGAAGAAAATAACATAAAAATAATAGGGTTAAGGGAGGAGTTCTAAGGGTAGCAGACCCCACTGTCTGAGTACTAAAGCAGCAATCTGTCTCCAGCAGCTACAGTTTTAGAAATATGAAGAACTTCTCCTGAAGACTAAGAAAATAAGGATACTGGGAAAGTCACAAGAAGAGAAAATGGTGTAGGCTTGCAGCAAGAGCAAGGTCAACATTAGGTTAATTGCAGTGGTATTTCAGAGGTTTCAACAGGGAGATTTAAAAATGAAGGAGACAATACAGAAAACAAAGCCAGGAGTTTTAGGACATGGATGAGCCCAAGTTTTGGCCCTGGGAGCAAATTTGAAGGGAAAGTGCAACTCAAGTCTGACAAATTCATCTTTCATGTAGGAAGAAAGACTGGTGTTTTTGAAGCACTTGGTAGCTGGACATTGTGGTGTAGACAAAAACTAATAGCCAAGACAGATATATAGGGGAAAAAAAACTAAAAATCAGTATCTATCATTATTTCTCACTTGGCAACGGAGGGAACACAGATTACTGGGTTTTCCACAATGGTCCCAAGTTAACCATTTGAAAAGAAAGGGCCATGACTTCCAATTTTGAGACACTGACCTTGTGACACCATTAAATACTTGATATTACTGTTGCAAAGGACACCGAAAGAAAGTTCTTGTGGTAGGTGACTTACAGAATGTTATGGAAGCTCTTATGTTGTTGAGTAGATGATTAAGAAATCTGAGTTGACCACAAAAAACCCAAACCAAATTAGAATAAAAAAAAGCACGAAAACGCTGTTCCTCAAGCATGCTTAAAAGCTGATCTAATTCCATATGAGATAAAAAATCAAAATGTGTATTACACATGTAGATCCTTTATATAATAGTCAAAGGACTGAGCTGCAATTTATACAGAATTTATATTGAAACAAAGAGGAACTAGAAATAAATATAGATGTAGATACCGTAAAGAATTTCTTCTTGCTTTTATAGAAGTACATCTCAAGGACAATTATGTTAGATAATTCTTCTTTTCATTTAGTAGTTTCTAACTACAGGCAAATGGCTTAGGCAAAAGAGGAAATGACCTGAAACATAATCTTAGATCTGCAATGTACATACCCACACAAAATTAAAATATTGGGTATTGCCTTTATCCAAGGAAAAATACTGTGCGTGAATATATGCATCACATGCTCAAATGAAATGAGTGTCATCATTTGTTTTCTATATTTTAAAAATATCAGAATCAAAAGATATTTACTGATGTCCTAATGCATTTAAAACCCAAACTCATAACTTACTCAGATATTCCTTTTCTGTCTTCATGGGTGAATGGGCAAATAGCTCAGAGGAGATGCAAGCACCCTGCAGTGTGCCCTGGACGATTCTCGCCTAGGTCTTGTTGGAATAAAAATTTCTGCTCCTGCCTTGCATGCCAGCAAGGAGCCCAGGAAGAGAAAAGGGTGCTGGTGGATGCCCAAATCTGGTTTTGAGAGCAGATGGGATGTGGCCAGCACATACACTATAACTTAAGTTCTTGAAGACTCTCTCATAATAAAAACATTAAGAAATGCCTTACCGGAGATGTTTGGAGGTTTACTAAAGAGAACAAAGGATTCCACAAAGCCTTTTCTGCCCCTGCTTTGCTTTTACACTTTTTCTTGTATGCAGTGATTTAAAGATTAGCTTTTTTCACATTCACAGCAGCTGACTGAACTGCAAATGCTACTTAGAGCCTGCACCTCCATCTTCTTCTCTTACTCTTAAAGCTTTGGAGAATTTAAAATGCATCTTTGTCTCAGCTGAACTGAATGAAAAGTGGCATGCATGAGAATGTATGAAAATGAAAGTTTTAATTTTTTTTAATTACAAAGGTGGTTTATCTCTCTGCTAAGGGCAGGCCCAAAGCCTCCCTGAGGAATGGACTTGCTCAATGTACAGAGAGCAAAGCCAGCCAGTTCCCCAAACACCTGTAACCTGCCTGAGCCTGGCCAGGCATTGTCAGGGAGCTCTGTAGGAGACTGGACAGATCATTCATGGCTTTGGAGATCATTAACTTATGGGTTCTACACCACCCTGTTCTGCTGCCTCTTATGCAGTTTTGTACCTGGAAAAGCTATATGTGTGCTGTTATAATTGTGTGCATAATTCAGTTTGCACTGCTGTGCATGAATCAGCTTTGCTGAAGCAGGATAGCAACTTTTCATGTGCAGAAGCCATTATTACTACTTTCTTGAAGTAGAAAAAATGGCTGCTAAACATGCATAGCAGTTAGATGAGAGAAGTGAAGTATTACCTTCATTGCTAAAGCAGCTTTTGCTGCATATATCTTCTGCCACAGAGCATTTCTCCTGGTATTTACTTTCCTCTGTAGATGTTAATATGTGGCTGTGCCTGTTCATGTCATTTTTTTAGGGATTTCTGACACCTAAAGACCTCCATTTTTCTTTTCCCTTTTGACAGTTAGTATCTTTCATTTTAGGAAGTAGTACTAACTTCTAGCAAGCTGGAATGCAATTGTAAGGGGCTTACTGAGAAATCCACTAAAAAGATGTCAGACAATCTTGTCTAACCTGACATTAAAAACTGTGAAAATAGGGCTGCAGATGAATACTTATGCTTGGTATTGCACATTAACCCCATATGTCTCCTCTGGGACCTCCCAGCACACATTGCTCTCCACTGCTGGCGCCAAGAAGTTAAAAGGTCTGTGTGTGTGCTGTAATCAATTCAGAAGGCAGGTAACACTGAGCGGATGGGAACAGGCTTCTGGCTCAGCATGAAGCAACTCCAATTCAGTTTAGCTATTGGAGTCAAACTGACTGATGGTATAAAGTAAATAATTCCCCAACTCATTCTCAACCAGAAAAGCTATGCACTTGCATTTAAAAAAGGAAAAAAAGACAAAAAAAAAAAAAAAAAAAAAAAAAAAAAAAAAAAAAAAAAAAAAAAAAAAAAAAAAAAAAAAAAAAAGAAAAAAGAAAAAAGAAAAAAAAGAAAAAAGAAAAAAGAAAAAAGAAAAAAGAAAAAAGAAAAAAAAAGAACAGCATGAGCCTGTAAACCAAATAAAGTAATCCTATTTTTCTTCACAGGTTCTGCAAATTCGTCTTGCACTGCTGTAATGCTGCTCAGCTTAGCACACTGCAGATAAAAAACCCTTCCTCGCCTTTCTGTCATGAGCTAAATCTAAGACCAAAAACATCGTGACTTATTTCTCTGAATGGAAACATCAAGAGATCAAAAATGAGAAAAAAAAAGAAATTCTTACCTTGGGCAGGATCAGGCGGGCCAAACTCCAAGGAGTATCGCAGAATGAAGTTGTTATTCCACACGTACAGCTGGTTGTCTCTGGGGTTGTAATCCACTGCGGCGATGTACTGGTACTGGTTGGGAAAAGGAATGTCCACGTGCTCGCCTCTGCTTAACCTGGTGTTGTAGATGTAATCGATGGCGTTCCTGCCGGTCTCGCTCTCGTTGTCCTGATACACCGACCGCACCACGTACAGGACACCACAGATCATGAAAGCATTGGATGCCGCTCGCTTGTCGTAGGCCGTTTCCCAGGTGGCTTCGAAGCGCAGAGTGTAGGGGTTCAGCTGGCTAATTACTATCATCCCATTGTTTTGTTCCGTAGCATAAATTACCCACAAGCCGTTTTCATCAACTGCCAAGTCAATATCAGTCTTTCCTCCCCATCGGTACGGAGAGGTGTCATGGTAATTAGCATAATTGATTATAGCCTCTCCACTCTTAATTCTAGTCCTCAAGTCAAATTTTACTATGTTCCGAGTTCTTTCCTTGTTGAAAAAGACAGCTCCATCATACACCACAAATCCAGTACCATCCACTCGGTTTGGGAGTTTGTACGTCGTCTGCTGGCGTCCGTTCTGGAAGTCCTCTAAAGAAGCATATTCTATCAAAGTATCCGTGCGATACGGAGTCCATGGCATGAAGTATATTTTATCTGCAGCCTGGAGAGGATCTTTGCACCAAGCACCTGCTTTTTGCTCAGCTTCATATAAATACGGTGAGTCCACAATTGCTTTCAACGTCCCCGGGCAAACAAAAACTAACAGTCACAGAGAGAAGTAAGACAAGAATTACGTCAAATTAAGACTGTCTCATAATAAAAATTAAAAAAAAAAAAAAAGAAGAAGAAAAAACCAAAAAGGTAGGTAAATCATAATGACTGTGTCAGGAAGAAAAAAAAATCAATTTAATTGGCACTAGATTATACCTTATGTTATAATTAATGCAATTATCACCCTTTATCATCCACTTTTCTTAAAGTTACCATGTTCTTGCTGTACCAGTATGGAAAGTGGATGGGAACTGTTTTCACTAGTACAGACCAAGGCTCAATGGCATACACAGACAACTGAAAATGTAGAGCTACTCTTGCATTTTCGTTTCAGACTTTTAGTGAGTACACATTAACGCTCCAGAGCTTTTAGCTGATGTGCAGCAGTGTGCTAGGTCATTTCAGTCCAAAAAAAAAATCACATTGACTTGTTTAGAACTTTAAGAAGTGGTGAGGCTGAAAAAGGAGGTGCCTCGATTAAAAATAAAGGAACAAAACACATCATCAGGTATATAGAGAAAGCAATTAGGAGCAGAGAAAACAAAACACAACCAAAGCAATGAATGAAACAGACCAGGAAACCCTGTAACCATGGCATGCTATGGAGAGGGTTCTGGAAGCCAGGCAAGATGACACTTGATTAACAAGAATTTACCCAAGGGTGAGAGAAAGAGAGGGAAAGAAAGACAAAGAGAAAGGGAGAGAAAAAAGCAAGGGAGTCTTCCCTCCAGCCCAAGTACTTCAGACACTATACCCCGCCACCTACTTTAAGCAGCCAAGTCACTTTATTGCAAACAGTCGACTTCTTTATGAGGTGTACTTATGAGATCCTGCTGATTATCATAATATAAGAGTGTTGTGGGGAGGGGAAGGGAAGAGGTTAACATCCATAAGGCACATAACAAGGAGCTGGGGTTTGGACTGTATACGTTATTTACCTTTTTGCTCCACTTCTATTTTAAGCATCGGAAGAAAAATAAAAAAGTGCAAGGAAAAAAGAAAGAAGATTAACATAAATTGACTATTAGTCTAAAAGATTAAATTAGCAACAGACGCTAAATATAGGGAGAATAAGAACTGCTCTATATTGGATAAAGAGAAACAGACAACAGGATAACCTAGCAGGAGAGAGATTCTACGGTTACTCAAATGAACATGGATCAATCATTTTAGTAGATTAAGGAGGGAATACAGATATGTTGACATGTAGTTTCACTTAGTGAACCTGAATAAATAATGAATTACTTTACTAATACATGCTATGTACACTCTTCTTCTAAAAGCATAATGCTAATCAAGTTGGTTTTTAAGAAACATATTAATTTATCATATATGTGCAAGTGCACATATACATACTGTATTAATTGATAATTAGAAATACAAAATTCAGTATATTAATTATATAGGTTTGCATATGTGATTATTAAACTTCCCCCATCTTTGCCCCAGACATTTCCCTGCTTTTCTTTCTTGCAAAGAAAGCAGCTTGCACCCTTTGCATCTCCTTAGGCTGTATTTTATTTGTTTTCCTGAATGTTAATCTTGAGAACTTTTGCCACTTCTTAGTCTATAACTGCAAAATCAGACTAGAAGGAATAAGCAAAATCATCTAGAAAAAAAGAAGCAAAAGCACAGTAAGCAAGAGGAAAAGAGAAGAAAAAATTAACAATTAGCTCATTCAGATATTCTCCAGCATCATCGATTAAGCCCGAAACAGCAAGCTAGTATGCAAGGACAGTACTGTGTTTAAAACAAACATCCATCCTGCCACCATACATGGAAGACATAAACTGAACCCAATTAATAAAGTTATATTACTACAGCAATTTTTCCCCCAGGAAGTTTTAAGGAAGTTACAGAAAGATATATAGCTGAAGCCCAGCTAGTAAATAGCTTTTCAATAATTATTTGCAATAAACCTATTTCATATACTCTGTGGCCTTTGAAGTATGCTCCCTTGGTTTCATAAAATGACCTGGAAAATGACAGATGTACCAAGCTGTGCAACAGTAGCTGCTGATACCAGGGAAGTGTATCAAAACTATTTGCACAGCTATTACGTTTTCAGTATTACAATATTATCCTGAAAAATGCCTTTGTATGTTTCATATAAAGTTTTGGATTTTCAGTTTCATTTAATAAAATTACATATGATTATTCTGGGAATGATATTGGCTGATCTGATCTAGTGCTTCTTCAGGAAGTAATTCCAAAACTTTACAGGTGAACTAGAGGGTGTCAATATTTTCAAAATGAGCAGTAGTTTTCCTAGCCTTTGTACCGTTATACATCTTCAGGTAAAATACCCATTTTTCTGTAATTTGTAATTCTGGATTTATCAGAGTAAACAGAAGATGTATTCTGAGGTGAATTCTTGTGTTTCACCATTAGTATTAATGACTTTCAGATGATTCTGTTTGTGAACTTCTATGCATGTGCTTATTTCTCACCAAAGAGCAATATTGATACTGTACCTGCTTAGAATTAGTAATAGGAGAAGGGGGGGAAAAGATAGGGATAAATAAAATCATTACTGGCATGTCTGCTCTGCATGCATTGGTATACAGCTGTACATTTTTCAGGGACAGATGGGCTTATTGAAATAAACAAATGCTGCAAAGACCAATCAATACACAGAGAGAGATAATAAAACACTTTAAAATGCTTTCTATTGAATTCCTGAGTCCAAAATAGGCTTAAAATAAAAATGCACAGATATACAAATGGCACTTTTGATGTTCTTTATAAAAGGGCTGGCTTCTGTTAGTCAAAGTGCCAACATAGACCGTGAAGCACAAGTGAGAGAAATGTCAAGTATAGTACTCTCAATCTCTTTGTAATTTAATTGATAGCACTCTTATTATTTCAGGACAAAGCAATGCCTATCAAATTTGTCTGGAATTTTTGTTTGAGATCCAACTGAGTGTCTGAAAAAATGTTTTGTTGTTTTGTTTTTTGGGTTTTTTCACTTTGAGATGCAAAAAAGGAAGCATTTATTAAGTACTTTCAAACTTAATTAAATTTGCAAAATGAAGTACTTTCAAATAAGCAAAGCAGCTATGTATTTCTGGAGGCCAGCAAGACACAGAGGAGCTCATAAACTGCATTTTGTACAAGGGTGACAGCAACTCCAGTGCGTAAGAACTCTCACCTTTCACCACAAAACCTCCTAAAATTGCTGCTTGTCATCTCTCATGGACTGAAAGCTACCACAGTGAGTATTGCAAATTTTTTAGTCTTGCAGTAACTGAAGATGAAATTAATGAAATAAATGAACTTTGGTTAGAAGTGCTGTGATCACTAAACTCCTCCCTTCCTGGGCCCACAAAAGCTTATCCTACCTTCCTAAGAAGTCTCTTACACTGATACAGCTGCTATTTGCAAATCTAATGATTTCAGTCATTCTGTAAATTTAGATAAGGAGCTCTGGAACAAGTAAGGAAATAAAATTTAGATTTGGTAACTGGAGTTTAGCAGGCATCAAAAAAAGAGACTTGGAAAAATAACAGGATAGGCTTTGTGGGACAGGGAAGAAAGAGAGTAAACAATCAAAATGGCTATTGAAGCACAATGTGATTTGAAACCAATCTTCGAAACTCATTTTAGTAACTGGCAATCTTTTTGATGACTGCTGGTAATGACAGGTGATGCATCTTACAGTTCTGGAATTGGGCAGCGTCATCACTGTACATGCTGCAGTTGACAAACTCTGAAACTTATAGACTTTGAAAAAACAGGAAAGCATCCAGAATCCTGAATTATGACAGACACAGAATTACAGAATTCAAAGGGTAGGCCAATGCAACTGACAAAAACAAGCACTTTAAAATTAAAGTAACTACAAGTTAGAGTACAGGGTAGGCCGCGCTGTGGCACTATACTTCTGAAACTGGAAAAGAAAAGATTCCTGGAGATAGCAATACCCAATCAGTAGAACATATCCACACTGCTCTTCCTAAAACAGCATAAGAAATTATGTTTGAACATTATTTGCATTACATTTTTTCCTCTATGAGCTAGCCTACTGGAACTGGAAAGGTAACTTCTTGTCACTTGACTGACCTCAGGTTTTGGAATCAGATGCACTGCCCTCTTTCTGAGAATTTGGAAATGAAAATAATGCTAAAGCAGAAGTGGTCTTTGTGGAACAAAACTTTGGTTAGATTGGGGTAAGACATCACTCCTCAAAAGTGGCACGAGAAGAACAGTTACAACAAGCCACCAATACTACACACAGGAGGAATGGTACTAGGGATCACTGTTTGCAGTAGGCTTCCAAACCTACAAATGGTACAGGGAAAAAAATCAGCAAGCAACCATTTCACAATGACACAGCAGAAATGAAGAGAAAACAGATGATCTGTGCTTGGCCTTTAACAACAGTGAAGGTTCAGTATGGAAGCAGTACGAAGTAGTTTTCAGTTTGAGAATTCTAAATTTTGCATGAAACAGTATGGACAGTTTTGGCATGGCTTTGCTTATGCCAGAACTCATTTCCTTCCTTTTTCAATATATACTGTCACCACAGTGTTTTTGCATCTCAGACTTGGCCAGTTTCCTGTACCAACAGAAAATACGACTTTGGTTAAGGATTACTGCAGATCAAGAAATTCATGCCTAATAATAACTCAAGGGAATGATCAGTGCACTGCTCAAATTCCATTGCAAGCACAGCTATTTCTCTGTTGAGTTACAGGACGAGGGAGAAGTCACTGCAAAGAATGACCTTACAAGAAAGCAAAACCAGTTAAAAGTGTCGAATCTGCAGAACTTTCATGAACATGCACACATGTCAATAAAAAAAAGCATTAATTATTGCAAGGAAATAAGAAGTATGTCTAAAACTACTGAGCTTTGGCATTATAAAGAATATTGTACAAAACTGCTGAAGTAACCATAACTTCACATTTTTCTGTCTCATCATGATTTCACTATTTACTTTGTTTTCAGTGAAAAACTCTATTTTGCTAGCTGATTCAAGACACAACTGACATTTTGTCTTTCAATTAAAAGCAAACATTTCTTTCTCACTCTTTTCCCCTTTGCTTTTAAAGAACGCAGTGTGAGTACCTTATTAATGAATTATTCACTCTGAATCTGCGTTCATTTATAACGAAGCACAAAATCCTTTTACAATGTCCCCCAACTGGGTCACTTGCCTCTGAATGTCAGTGCTGGGTTTTGCTGTGCACCCAAAGTCACCACAGCAGCAGGTAGCCTTTCAAGTAGATCATGATTAAAATTGAAGTCAATTCCTGCTTTACAAGTCTGTGAGCCAAGCCAATTTGTCAGCAACTGGTTGCGGGCAAAAGTACAAATTTCTATCTGGCCTATTGAATAGCTAATTTGAGTTTGTTTTCTGGAAAAACAGTAGCCTTAAAAGCCAAACACTTAAGAACACAGACAGACACTTGGCCAGCATCACACCATGGCTTCCTTCCACACTTTGTGAAGCTAATTGGAGGCCCTAGTCTGCAAGTGCTTTGCATGCATAATGGGGCCATGGGCCATAAACATATGCTTCTTTTCCATGTAACAGCACTCCAGCTTCAATTGTGAGGGCCAGAGGAAGTGAGCAAGAATAAAAAGATTATACTTACTGTAAGGAACGCATTCATACTGAACTTCTAGATATTTGTATGTTCCAGGACAAGGATCAGGAAACACATCTGACCCAGTAACCACTATACACTGTGTTCGGTTGTTGCACCTGTAATGGGAAAAGAAAGCAAGCTAATTAATTTAAAATTACATTTAATTTGCAAGTTCATACTAAAGGACTACATTCAGTGCTAACTCTCTTCACACTTGGGCAGTTCAATCCATAAGACAACAAAGTTAATTAATACTAATTAGCCAAAGTCCAAAAGAAGACTTCAGGGCAATATTTTAGTTCAGGCTCTATACTTAAAAATTTGGAGATCTATGCTATCTTAACTGCTATCAGAGACAGCTGTATCAAGTACCAAGTTTAGACTGAATTGACACTACTGTTCAATAAAATGGAAACAAAATGCAAAGATGATGATTGAAAAAATGTGCAATTTTGAATAATGTATAATAACAACAATGAGTAATTCCTTCCATCTTTAGAGACATACATCCTGCTGAATGGCTTTACTTCTCAGAGAGATTTTTCTTGTGACTCAAGGAAATTATTTTGGTTAGAAGAGCTATTGTAGTCAAAGAACATTAGCATTTCCATTTTAATTATTTTAGGAGCAATTGGTGGACTCTAAGCTTCCTCTGTTAGGCTACAGGAAGCAGTAAAGAAAATTAATTCAGATGTATTTTTGAGGAGACTGAAACATAACAATTATTTGCTTAACAATGAAAGAAAAGAACTTTATTACAATGCCTCTAATTGTGAGGATCTACTGAACTTAATGTTTTTGAAGAGTAACAATAATAATAATAATAATAATAATAGATTTTAGACTACTATTATTTTTTCCAGAAAAAAAAAAACTAAAACAAAAAACCAAAAAATTAGCTTGGAAGTTAAAACTGAACAGTGAACCTTGAAGAGATAGTCAAAATGTAATACAGGAAAACAGTCATGAGGAAGAGGAAGAAAAAAAAAAAGGAAGGTTAGGGAGTTTGGTGACTAAAAGGGAAAGAGCTTGGCTGATCTTCTCAGGGGTTAGTTTTGTTTGTCAGCAAACTGAATAACAGAAGTCTGAACTTCAGTAATAGACTAGCCTTTGACTCCAGCTGTACATCAACTTCTCTATTGCTCTACTTCTTCCCATACTCCTGAATACCACATAACCCAAGCTAAAATAATCTGCCTTGTATCAGTGGCTTTCCACAGCTGTACAGCACCAACAGCTATTAGAATAATTCATGCTACCTCATAAAAGGTAGAGCAAACATATTCAAAGAACTCTATTATAAATTACTTCCTTTTTTATACAGTAATCAAACTAGGATAGAGCCAGTCAGGACATGCTGTGTGCCTCTCTGCTGAGCAAACTCAGAGACAAAAGCTCTCTGAGTTGATCAGCTAACTCTTTTTATCTTTTTCCTCTTTTTTTAAATGAAAAAAAAAAGAATTTTAAAGTTGCTTATTTCTACCATCATAAGCCTCATCACTGCAGAACTGATTGGAAATAGTCAGGGATTTCTGTATACACACAACCATGGATATGGATAGGTTGTGGGAATTCATCTGCCACCTTTTCCAGAGGGCAAAGCCAGGTCCCCTGCACAGCTCTTGCACAAATAACGCCACCCCACTCCCACCACAAGGGCTCAGCCAGTCGGTGCAGCAGAGCCTGGAACGACTCAGACACACCCAGTGGCTTCAGACCCAGGGTGAAGTGGTGAAATGCGCACCCAGCTTGCTGAGAAAACCACTGTACTCAGTGTGTAAAATGTGAAAATGTGCACACAGCCCCTCCCATGGAGGACAGAGTGCTGCTGCTGTGTGTGTGGTGTAGATGGAGGCTGCAGAAGCAGAAGGCAATGTGGCCCCAAACCTCACAGACCTCTCTGCAATATCCCCAGTACAGGGGTTTTTATATGCCACACCTCAGGTACACTAACCAGCATGAGAAAATTTGGAATGTAGGATTTTGTAATAAATTTCTCTAAATTTACGTTTCTTTAGCAAAAATCTTATTCTGAAGCCAAAGTAATTCCTACAAGACTTCTTCTAGTGCATCTTCAGTATGATGGTTTCCACAGCTTTGAGCTGTATGAAAATTTTATTTTATACTCAAATGAGCAGCAATTAAGACAGAATTATTTATTTGTTACAAAATAAAACTAGTACATGTTGGGAGAAATTGCTTGAGAATGAAGCTAACCAAGGTCATATTTAGCAGTGAGAAAAAGATAGACTAATTTCCCTGTGAAGAGTTGTTTTCTTCAGTTTCCTTTTCTCTCAGTAAAAGATTCATAATGCTGCCATCAGCCAGGAAACTGAGAAGAACTTCATACTAGGTTGATAACACGCCAAAAACTTTTGACAAGTCCTTTATGAAAAATTTCACCTGCTGTGCATATGGTCACCTTTTGCACCCCCTTTGGCTAAACCTAAGACCCCAGTTACAAAACAACGAGTTCTGTCCACTGCTGCAGTATACAGCAGTGCTACCAGGCCCACCAGCACTTCCCCAAGAAGTGGAATTACTTGAATAACTACATGAATAATGTATTTGTGCTTTAAGTTACAGGTTTGCACATTCAAATCACTGATTCTGCTGCACTGGTGGCTGTATTTTATAAAACCTGAGCAATTTACATACACTTCTAAGATTTCAAATTAAAGACACTTGGTTAGGATATCCACAGTTTTAAAAGCTGACATACAGGTAACTGTAATATTTTTTTACCTATTTAGAGGTCATATTTCCATTAGAGTGAGACTTTTAATAAAAACCAACAGCAATTATAGCAGCTGTCAATCCTAATTCATAGGTTACAGAGAAGAGGTGAAGAATAAGTGAATTTTGTAGAGGTAGTTCTGAGACAAGTAATTCAGGGAATTTATACTACTGTGATTTGTTCTCTGAATAAATTAAAGCCTTCTGTCTGCTGCAAAACCAGGGATACTTCTGTTATCTATTGGCCTATACTTCTGCTACTGTCTGCAAAAACCATTTTACAAACTGGTAAGGCTTTCAGCTGAGCTTCCTAAGGACAAGAAGCCTCACATTCTGTAGCACATTAGATAAAAGAGACTCCACTCTCCACAAAATAGCATTAAACAGCAGATTATCCTACGTGACTACAGGTTATCAAAGCTACCTCATCACTGCTACAGCAGAACTTCATAATTTTAAGAAACCTTTACACTTAGAAACACTGTGTTTGAAGAAGAGGATATTCCACTGTTTCAGCCTTAAATCTGGTGACCCATTTAATTTTGTAATGGGCAAGCACCTTTTGTGTCACAGGATTCTCCAAAACAAGGCTATTATAGAAATAAAGTGCCTTGGAAATTGCAAAATTGGCCTAGACATCATTAGGAAAAAAAAATTTAAAAAGTCAAACCTCAAAAACCTGAACTGATTAATAACTTGGAGTCCCTCATTCATTTGGTTTCTCAATTCAAACTCTTTCAGAATTGTTATAATGAAGGTGTGATACAAACCAGCTGTAATTTCTGCAAAGAAGACAAATCACAAATACTCTGGTGTTTCAGTGTTTGTAATCTAGTGTTTAAGTTCTCTGCAGGTTTAAATACCATTTAAGCATTCTGCAATCTACCTAAGTGCATACTTCCCCAGCATATTGTAAAATATGGACATTTTCAGGGGATTATGTAGAATCTTAAAATTCATATGATTGCACACTGAGAAATGTCTTCCCACTCAAGAAGAATTCACAATATTCACAAAGATTTATGACACAATGACTTTGCCATTTACAAGGAAATACAGCAGATCAGCAAAGTCTGTATAACTCAGTAACAGTTAACTTAGGAGAGGCAATGTATGAATTAAAATTGAAATGCTAGTTAGGAAAGGACCAACTGCAGTAATGAAAGAATGATAATTCAGGCTCTTGTGCTAGCAGCAACAACACTTTTGCAAGGGGAAATGCAGGAATTATCACTATTCTCATGAATGCAAGGAGCAATTGTGTACTCTGACACACGTTCCTTCTGTATTTTAGTATGAATGAAGAAAGGTTACATCTTCATAATGCACATGCATCACTTAGAGTAATCTAAAAATCAAATGGAGTGTTTAATTAACAGTTACAGTATAATGTCTGAACTCCTTTCACCTCAGGAAGAAGACTGTGCAAATGAGGAATGGCCCTTCACATTTCAGATGAATACAGAAAGAAAAAGGAAAGTAAAGCAGCTCCAGCAGGGCTGGTATTATCTTCTGCTCATGATGTAGCCCTGTCCCTGCTGCATCCATCCTCTCTGCTAAGCTATAAGGACAGCTGTATTTTCCATGATAATTTGTTTGTATTTCAACTCTAATCTTGACTTGTTCAATTCCCAACAAATTGCTTTTGCTTTTTTTTTTTTATTATTATGATTATTACCTTATGCTTATTATTGCACTTTTTCATGTGCAATGTATGGAGATGAGATTCCATGTGCAATCTATTGTGCGAGGTGTTTTAATCAATAATCTTGTTCTGCTGATTAAGCAGGGGCTTCTGTTTTGGCAAGATAACATTAGTTTCTCCTGTCATGCTCCCAAAGCTATTGGGAATCTTCAGCAGATCATCAGATATGCTACAATAAAGCTTTGGTACATTCTCTTTTCTTTCTTAAATTGCTTCTTCACTGTCCTATCATTCCTCGTCACTGCTGGCACTGCATTATTATTACAGCTCCCCTGAAACTTGCACTAGAGCTATGTCTGCAGGCCATAGGATGCCATTTTCAATTGAAGATTCTGCTTGAAAATATAAATTAAGAAAATTTCATTATCTCCTGCCAAGGGCCATTATTCACCATTGTTCTAAGGAAGATTAAAAATATACAATCTATGGACTTGAACAAATACTCCAGCACTAAAATGAAAACCTCAGTGTATTATGACTGGACCAGAAAGTGAAGCACTGGGATCTGAAAAACAGAATCTGGAAAGACATTAGCACTGCATGGATCAAACCAACTGACTGAGGGAAGAGGTCATCTCTGTGAGCAAGTCACATCTGATACAGAAAGATATAAGCAGACCCTTAACAAGTGGTTCTTGCAGTTTGCAAAAATCAGGTATGTATGAAATAATGTCC